ACGATGCAAAATACAAAATGAAGAAATCAAAATGATATCAAATTTGTTAACGTAATTATTCCAAAAAGTTAATAAACTAATAGAAATGCGAAAAGTTAAAACTCAACTGATCGGTAAAGGTTTCTTAACGTGATGAAATATATTAAATCTTTAAAAAACATCAATAAATATTAACTAAAGAACTTTCACGTTTAATTAGATATTGCTGCTATTTTAAAGTAAAATATCATAATGTTTTAAGTAAACATTAGATTTTTTAAATTGCATGAATAAATGTTTGCCGTAAACACACCCATATACTGTTTACATAGTAAGCATTATAATACATACTATTTGTAAATACGAGAGCTGAAAAAGATAATCGAATTTCTTGCCATTACACAGCGTAACGTTAAATGCGTGATATAAGCCAAATCGTTGTTTTGAAACGAGGAAAAGAAAACTGGTCAAGTGCAGCAAAAAAAAATAAAAATGAATGAAGACGATTATAATTAGATTAATGATTTCTTTTCTGTCTTTGCGGTTATTCCAAAGTTAGTTCATTGTAAAAAGTAAGGAACCCAAGATGTTTTTAAAAACAACTCAACGTGGCCAAGTTGCAAAATATCACTTATATGCGAACACTATTCACCACATTATATCTTATTATCACTTTATTATCGTCTCCTTTATAAATAACCTTGCCTATGACATCAATGGACAATTTATATCAATCAAATGGAAAGGATAATTATATGTTGAAATTATATGTTAATATTGAGAATATGAAAACAAAATTTTGAAGATTTCTGGTTAGATACGTAAGGATTTATATGCAAAGAGTCATTTATAACATTTTGTTTTAATCTATAGCACAAAAAAAATGGATAGTGGCAAAATGTGGTGCTCACTAACCATACTAATCATAGGTATAGGGTATGCAGAAAATTAACGCTTGTTAAGTCAAACTCTAATTCACTAATCAATCACAATCTGCACATCAAAATCTATAGGAATTGTCGCAGCTCTGTTATAAAAAAGCTTTGCCATCGCAGCTTGAATATAAATTAACTTTTAGGCTTGACGTGAATAGAATAGATTGTTATGTAACAAGTTAAGTATGCATCTAGTCCAGTTGGAAATAGTGTTAGGTTGCTATACAAATCATACGTATCTTGCTTGAGAGTAGTCAATTGAGCCTAATATTTAAAATAATCTGAGGCAAAAAATGTTTATCTTCATGTCAATTCAATTCACAATTTTTTTTCGAGTTGGAATAGATTGTAGTTAAGTGCTAAGGGACGCGTGTATTGTTTTTTATTTAAAACCCCCAAAGCGGTGAAATATTTTAAAACGTTGAAGTGTTTTGATTGGGGTTATGAATAACAGCACAAAAGCTGTAAAAGCTTTTCCAATGAATTGTTGATACGTTCAACCACGTAATAGTTATTGAAAATTTAATGATCTCGTGTTGTAAACTTTTTTGTAATTATTTTAACAAAACTAATACAGCGAAAACTCTCCAAGCGGACACAAATCTTGCAATCAACCCCAAACCTATATTTTCATGTATAAATTTGTTTTTTATAAGCGGACGCTGTAATAAACGGTCGCAGACACTATTTTTCTATGCATAACGGACAAATATGCCTAATACACGGACTCGTAGATAAATAGATGAACACATCGAAGTAATCTGTAGTAGATATTTACCGGCATGTATTCGGGGATTCCTCGTTTTACGAGTTCCGTTATCAGTTTTGTTCGTTTGCGTATAACGTGCGTTGAAATGGCTTTAAAGGTGGTGAAGAAACAGATGCTTATGTTAATGGAGGAAATGGAAACTATTTGAGTTTATTAGATAAAGAAAAGTTTTGAAAAGTTTTCGCAATTTGAAATCGGAAAACCACAAGCGCCAAAAATAGTCAATAATAAAGTAATTTTACTTTATTATTGACTATTTGACTATTGACTATTCGAATGAAATGGCAGTCTGGAGTCAGTGTAAAAACGGAGAAAAACTTTTTGATTTCCAAATCTTCCCCTCCAAAGATTTACTGGTTATCTGGAAATCAAACAAAAAAGCATGGATGACACGAGACAGAAAGTATGACGGAGTGGTTAATTAATTTTAAATTTTATTATCGCGATTTAATAATAACCTATTATCACAAGTGGATTTCGCAGAATCGGCTTCTAAATTATCAAAATCTATTGATATATTAGAGAGCTTGTACTTTATTAAATCTGCGTGGCAGAAGGTCAGAGACAATTAAAAATTCTTTAAAAAAAGCAGATGGATCAAGGAAGTTCAACTGACTGTAAGTACGACGTTGAAGATAATTTGTCACACGCAAGACTAGCTGATTTGCATAAATGTAGTAAAGAACTGGGGATAGATAATGTAAAAACAACAGAAGAATATTTAACTGTTGAAGAAATCTTGCGGAGAAATTGCCAAAATTGCAAATCCAAACCGAGCAATAGTCCAGACCGTCGTCAAAAATTACAATGAGACTAATTCATTCGCTAGCAAAGTTCGTACAGGCTAAAGAAACTTTCTAGAAGAGATATTAGCTCCATATTAAAAGAAGTGAGCAAAAACCCTAGAGTTAACGCACCAAAATTAGCTGGCCACATCGCGACTGAATCTAATAAGTCTGTAGTACATCCAAGAACCGTATAAAGAGTTGTACGCGATAATAATAAATTTTTCAGCAGGACACCCCGAAGAAAACCGCTGCTTTCAGAAAAGAAGCCGTCTTCGACTAGAATTTGCTCAATGTCGACAAGGGAATGGATTTCTGATCCAGGGTTTTGTTTACTAACGAGTCGAAGTACAACCTTTTTGGAAGTGATGGTTGGGCAAAAATTTGGAGAAAACGAAACACGGCGATGGAGTTGAAAAATTTAGTGTCATGGTTTGGGAAAAGTTTGCCGCATCTGGTGTAGAAAAACTGGCATTCATTGATGGAATTATGGATCAATAAAAATACATTTTAAAACAAAATTTTAAACCATCACTGGAAAGCTTGGCTCTCGAGGATCGCTGAGAACAGAAGAGACAACAAACTTACATGCTGTTATAGAAGCTCATGGAGGGTCAACGAAATATTGAGTTTTAAAAACTACGCTTACAACCTAATAATTTATTTTTAGTTAGAAACTACTGTGTATGTAAACATTTGTCCTATTAATTTTTGTATTATTTCTTGAGTTTTTAGTATATAGCTATTGAGCGATTTGTGTTTTCTTCTTTTTTGTGAATAAGTAAGTATCTCTAATGACACTGCAGAGCTGGGCAGTAGTTAACTACAAAAGTAGTTGTATTCTAACTGCTTTTGTTCTATTAGTAGTTATACTCGATTATTTTATACTGGCATAAAATATTCGCAGAAAGTAGTGAACTCCTGATTGTTAGCTACTTTAGGTATTCTAACTATTTTTGTTTATTTTAATTCCTTTTAAGTAATTTAACTACTTTTAAGACAGTTTAAGTACTTCCAAATATCTAGTATGTACTTGTGTACACAAGCCGCGTTATAACCTATAGTTAGAACAAATCTGTAGTTTTCATTCCGTAAAGTACGCCCTTGCTTTAGACGTACCAAAAGAATCTGACTTTTAAGCATAATTTATGTATAACAGTTCAAACAGTTGTTAACTACTAACTAGACACCTAGTTACCTTTAAAATAAGCTTTATATAATAAATAGATGTTTATTTTATTTTGCATTTATTTATTTATTATTGTAGTCCTTTTTATGCATTTTTGCAGTTAACAAAGTAGTTAGATATTTAACTATTAACTACTACTTTTTGGTGAAAGTAGTTAGTAGTTATACTCCACTACTTTTTTCAAGTAGTTTGCCCAGCTCTGTCATACTGTAATGCTAATTTTCTGTTATCTTACTACGTTGTACAGCGTTTGTCACGACAAGCTTTTAGATTTTAAGGATTATGTAAGCTATGGGTGTATTTGTGCAACTTTTGAGAATATTTGGCCTGATTCAAAATTTAGCCAAAATTTTCGAAAAAACTGAAATAATCCAAAAATGGTGAAAATTAGACATACTTTGACTTATATCAAATTGTATTAAAATTTAGCAGGCATCTCGAAAATTCAATAAAAATTGGGACATTCCGTTTAAAATAACGAAGTAAGTAGTTTGCCATATATGTACATATAGACTCAGCTTGTCGTGACAGACCCTGTACAAAAACCTCATAATTCAATGTTGTATGTAGACTTTTGTCCGCACTGTATGTGTATGTACTTTAATTTGTGTAGTCTTTTCTCATAAGCGGACATCTCTGAGAAGCTGACAAAAGTAACGGAGCCGTCATTGTCCGCGTATTAGAGCTTTCACTGTAATAAATAATAAAAAAAAACAATTTTACTCTTTAGGGTATAATTGTTCCAACTTCGCAGACGTATAACCTAAAAATGACATAAACGTCAAAATGACAGTTTTAATTTAAGAAGTGACGTTAGAGAAAATAAACGTCAAAAATTAATAGCAATCATATTTTAAAATAAATTTTAAAATAAACTGTAAACTATAAGAATGCAACATTGAAAAGTTAGTTTTAACGACACATTAAAATAACCAAGTTGGTGAAACGTTCTTGTAACCGTAAAATGGGTACACAAACCGTCGTTTTAAAAGCGTAATTTTCAAAGGAACATGGTAAATGTCCGCGAGGTCGTAAGTACTGTCGATTAAATAGCTCCAATGCGACTATTTCGGAACTTTATGTGTCGATTCAAAAGTTGTTCACCGCCTTAAACAGTTCCAAAAAAAGAAACGAATTGAAGGTTTTTTACTTTAATGATTTATAATAAATTTTACATTTACCTCTAAATTAAAAAAAAAGTACATGTAATTAACGGTTAATTTTTTTAGGTACAGGAAAAAAAAGTTTTTAATTATGTGCCATTTTTTATGTGAATTTGAAACATGTGTGTTAATTGTGAAGATAAAAATTATTTTTAAATAACAAGTTTTTTTTAAACTTACCAAAAGTTTTCAATGAAAATAAATTCCTTTCCAATTTCTTCATTTCTTCGAAAAAATAACGTCTTCAAGTACCCCACTAAACTAAAGTCTTTTATAGAAATTGTTTACAAAACAATTTTAAAGGTGATAAACTTAACAACACAGATTTTGAAAATCAAAATAACTTAACCTAACCTAAACTTTTAACGAACGAAGAAACGAAAAATCTGACTTACATTAATCAAAATAAATTAGGAGGCGTAAGGTTGCAGGTTTTGCCAAAAAAATGACAACACGTTTTAGTTAAAAAAATTGAAAATATTAAATGGCAAACTAGATTATGAACGTCATTGCGCGTCGGCCGGCCCCGAACGGGGGGCCCATAACAATTTTACGATTAACGTTCAAAATAGAAAAAAACTCACATCATGAGCCGGAGGAATCGATGTGAATCTGCTGTTATAATAATTTTAACCTAGTTATCATTGAAAAGTGTAACCACAACTACAACTAATAACTGTTAGAGCACGACAACCGCCATGTTACGGCATTGGATCGCGCATGCGCTAGAAATCTGTCAAATAATAAAAAAACTAACTGAAATTGTCTAAGAAAATTCACTTTTAATGGGACTTTCTTTTAATTTTTCCTCCTTAATTTCTAAATTTTTATAAATCGACTCAATTACTTCAATTTAAAACTATTGTCAAAGAACTAAACGGCAAGGATGTTGTATAACATAAATCAATATGTAGAAGAATTGGCAAAAACTTAGTATGGTCTTGGCACGGTACCCGGCTTTTATAATTTAACAATACACCAAGATTTATATGGCTCATTGCATAATCGAAATAACGGTCCCCAATATCAATTTATTTTTATTATTGTTAACCCCTCAAAACTGCAATATGAATTCATACTCGTTGGGGACCTTGTAGCTTCATCGATTGTTTTTCTTTTATGACCCGCTCATGCGTATTTATAAACAACAACTTATTTACTATAAATAAAAAAGCACTTTTTAATATATTAATGTACTTTAAATTAAAAAAAATAATACAACAATAATATTCATCATTTAAATTTTCCGCCAAAAGAGCCACCTATACGTCTATCTATAAACTGTTAAAACGTTTCATTAAAATGAATTAACTCATAAAAAATAAACAAAATTAAGATAAATTAAAATTTCTTTTTGCATTTTAAACAAATTAAAACAATTAATAAACAAATATTAAATACAAAATAAAAATATTTGCATTCAATCTCAAAAATGAAACACCCACTAGATGTCGTTGTACCAACGCTTCATCAAACGTTATTTAAACGTACCGGTTAATTTTTATTATCCATATCATTTCCGCACAAAATAAACCATGAAACTAGTGCGGTAAGTAAATCTTAACAACATCAATAACCCACATCAACATAAAAGCCCCCCAAATCCGCCTTAAAAATAATTTTCAAAACATAACCTAAAAACATTGAAACATAACCTTTCTCGTTTACTAATAAATTATTTTTTTAAGATTCTTAATGAAATTGAGCCATGAAACTGTGACGATGGAGTTAAAAAATGGTACTCAAGTGCATGGTACTATAACGGGGGTGGATGTTGCAATGAACACTCATTTAAAAGCGGTGAAAGTTACGATGAAGAATCGAGCACCGATTAATTTGGATACATTGACTGTACGCGGGAATAATATTCGTTATTACGTACTCCCTGACAGTTTACCTTTGGAAACTTTGTTAATTGATGATACACCAAAAGCTAAAGCTAAAAAGAAAGAATCGGCGCGTGGTGCTACTCGTGGTCGTGGTAGAGGAAGCCGAGGGCGTGGTGGACCTAGGGGACGTGGTAGAGGTCGTGCAAGGCGTTAAAAACTAAATTAATAAGATATTTTAATTAAGATAGATCTTAAGTATATTTGATATGAAAATAAAAAATAACTTCATAAAAAGTTGTAATAATCTTCATAAATAAAAAAAAATGGGATTTCTTAAAATTCATTTCCTTTCACTAAAATATACAACATCCATACAATAAACACCACAAGACATAAACCAAATGCAAACATAAAACTACTTCTGTTATGTTGATGTAAAGTTGAAAGCAGTTCTTCATTAGTTTTTAGTAATTTTCTACATTCAACAAGTTCTTTTTCAACAGTTTCTTCATCAGGAGATCCTATTAAACATTTTTCAAGCTTATTTATACGTTCGTAACAAGTTTTAATTGCATCTTCAGTCTTGCTTATCTAAAAGTGACACAAAAACATGAGATTTTTAAACATAACCTCACTTTAGAAGAATTTTACCTCTTGCATTATTGAACATCCGGTTTTTGGCCCCATTTTTTATGTTTATACGTTTATTTAACTAAAAGCTATCGATTGAATTACGTTGTGGGATAAAGAATAATAAATTGCTTGAAGTCTTTGTAAATGTCAATGTTGATTTACATCACAATTTACATACTTTCATTGTAAAGTATTCATTTTAATGTATAATATCAAATGAGTATATAATAATATGAAATAAATTAATATAAATCTAAATAATTTACTTAATTATTTGTAACCGGTTTCGATTTGTTATGATGTTATCATCAGCCAAATTTATTATGGATCCGAATATACAGGTGTCCCGCAATGATTGTACAATACTTCACCAGCGTATTCTCTGATCGAAAATAGACAAGAAAAGCCTAATAAACATAAGTCCGAAAATGGACCATTGTTGTGATATTCAAAGTTTTAGTTGCATAAGTTGACCTATTGTTAACACCAGCGGTTTTGAGAAAAATTGATGAAAATACCTCAACCAGCATAAGAAGGATTTCTGCACAAGAAAACATCAAGAAAGCAACCGTTCACCGAATTTGAAGGGAGGAGTTGCTTTATCTGTATCATCACAACACTTTAACAGAAAATGATGGCGAAAAACGATAGATTTATTACAGGTGGGCCATACAGGAAGAGGTACTAAACGTCGACATTCCCATAAACATTGTGTTTACGGATGAAGCATCATTTATTCAAAACGGAATTTTTAATATCCACAATGCGCATATTTTCAGTGATGATAATCCGCATGCAATACCACAAACTCATCATCAGTGGCGTTATAGGTGACCAGTTATTAAGTTCATTTATTCTTTCAAAGAGATTGACAGTTAACAGCCGATGCTTCCATAAATTTTTTTCAAAATGAGCTTACAGAGGCATTTGGTAAATTACCTTTGCAAGTGCTACAAGATTGTTACTTTATGCACGATGGAGCACCAGCACATTACGCACGCGCTACCCGAGCATATTTAGATGACAGATTTAACAATAAGTGGATTCACCGAGGAAGTCCTGTTCTGTAGCCATCTCGTTTACCAGATTTAAACCCGTTAGATTTTTGGTTTTGGGGACATTTAAAACAAATAATTCACAAAACTTTGAATATCTCGAAAATGGATAATTTTCGGAAGTATGTTTATTAGATTTTTTTGATTATTTTCGACCAGTTAATGCAGTTTATTATGCTATTTTTAAGTAAAACTTTCTTTAATTACTCACATCTCGTTAATACACAAAATTGTAGGCAACTACTTAGTTGCTTAGAGTACAGATAATCATCATTATGGAATAGAATCAAACGCAAAATAAGATATCATTCTAACATAGTATGACCAGATTGGTTTGTTTTCATTTTATTAGCCGTTTCTGGAACCAGATTGTGCGATCTTTCATAAACATTCCCTTTTGAAAAATAACGTTTCATCCGAAACAAAGATAGCAGAATAAGTATTGTGGAATGTTCATCGTACCGTTTTTAATCTGGTTAGCTATGCAATGTGGTTTGAAAAATATTACAATGCTTCTGTAAGAAACCATATACAGAGTGTGTTAAATATCTGGAATATAGCCAATAACTTCGCCATTTGTGGTTTTAAAGAAAAATGTTTCAAATAAAAAATTCTTTATTAATTGTGGCGCATTTTTTGGCGATACTTGCTTGTTTACATTGTTCTTTGTTTCGTTGCTATGGCAACCAACACTTTATTTTAAATGGAATGTATATGTTTTTTTTTGCACATTTTAATAGAGGATAAATCCCTCTACGCGATGAACATATCAAATCATATGGTTGTATTAAAAAAAAAAAGCGAGAAAAAATGCGTTCTCTGAAAATATTAAATCAGCAAGTTACAATCAAAGTAGGCGCCAAAATAACGCCGTTGACAGCTTTAAATGTTAGCAATGACCATGCATTATTAATTATTCATAATTGTTGAAACTGTAATTTTTTTGACATTTAAAGCTGTCAACGGCGTTATTTCGATGCCTACTTGGATTATAATTAGCCGATTTAAAACTTTCAAAATACGCATTTTTTCTCGATTTTTTTCTTATACGACCATATGATTTGATATATTCATCACATAGAGGAATCCTCTATTAAAATGTGCAAAAAAACATATGCATCCCATTTAAAATAACAATGCTGGTTGCCATAGCAACGAAACAAAGAACAATGTAAACAAGCAAGTATCGTCTAAAAGTGCACCACAATTAATAAAGAATTTTTTATTCGAAATATTTTTCATAAAAACCACAAATGGCGAAGTTATTGGCTATATTCCAGACATTTGACACACCCTGTATTGAGAATGTTTGAATTAAAATGTTAATACCATTTCCTAAATAATTTGTGATCATATGAACGAAGTAGAATATCACATAACAATAAAGTTTATCATTTATCAAATACATATCGAAGACCAGTTTCAGATAAGATGTCTGGTCACGCAATGGTTGTCAAGGTTTTGATTAAAAATAATGACACTACTAATTAGGCAAATATACACCATTAAACATTTTATTGTTTTATAGTAGAAAGACTCAAAAAGAATGGTGCTCCTATTCACCAAATCTAAAACAAGAAGTCAATAGCTGACCCCTAATATGTGAAAGGTTGAGCAAAATTGTTCACGATTCATGCACTAGTTTCAATGAGCTGAAATAGAAACATGTACTCGAATTGATTACATAATACCAAGACGTCTCAGGTTAACTATGACAAGCGGGACAAACCAGTACTATGCGGCGCGAAGAAGTGAAGAGAATGATCTTGATATTACGATTAACGTAATACCAGGCAATCTAGTAGTTCTGAATTGATTACTGACAACCTATAGTGACCAAGAAAGCAAATCGTCTGCAACCGTGTGTTATCGATATTGGCACTTGGCAGATTGAACTGGGACTCAAAGTGATGGAAGGAGATATTGTGATGGACCTGTCTAGCATCGACCACAAGATCGACATTTTGGTGAGCATTTAAGAAAAAGTGGAACTATTCATCAGTTTAAAACTGATTCGCAACCTCAATATTTAGTTATCCTTTTAAGCAAATTGAAAAGAAAAGAAGATGTATACAAATAGACAAATAGAGGATTATTAACCCGAGGCAAAAAAAAAACAGATTTCGAGTTTTTATAAAGTTAAAGCAAAAATATGTTAGTTACACTGGAATCAATTGAGTTCCTGTGACATTCACTATCTCGAAGTAGTGTGCCTTTGGACGTGCCGTAGTCTTGTAGCTTGGCGTGGTCGTGCCGTAGTTTGTCATTAGTATGTAGAGCAACGAGATTTTGTCTTTTAGAAGTGAGGTTCGGGTTGGGGTTCGGATGGTTGAAATATTTCTAAAAACAGCAAGTCTTTGTGCTTTCTCCAATGAGGATTTATCAGTTTCAATGAAGTGACCAAATACTAGGTGGGCTGAAACAGTACTCCCTATTCGTTGTAATTCTTCTTGTGAAATATTTGTTTTTCATTTCTTTCGACAATTGAAATAACAACGCAGCGGCATGGAATAAGTAATTCCCAGCTTTCCAGAAAACCATTGCTAATTCTTGGACACGCTCATTGGCCCATGAATATGGTCAATATTAGTTTTATAAGCTTCCTGTCATAATTGCAGATTCTAATTGATAAAGCATATTAAATAAAGCACATTAGCAACTTGAGCAAGAAGCTTGCAGATTTCTTCGAGGTACTTGCGAAGGTTGTCACATAATTTACGAAATTCAGTTTTACCATTATATTTGAGGCAAAATGGGAAGACCATGCGGGCGATGTTATGATATAAAGTTTCAACATGGCCTTTGTAGGTAACAATTCCAGGTATTGACAATAAAATTCCCATAAAAATTTTACCCAAAGTGTTAAGATTGTACTATTTAAACGACATGGAGCATCTTCCCAAACACAACAGTCACTAATATACTTTCTGGAGCTACATTATCTAAATCGTCTACACCAACCCATGTAGATTTTCATTTTTTTCTTCTGCCATCCCATACATTTACAGATTAAAATATGTATATTCTTGTATTGTGACAGCCCTTCCTTGGCAATATAGTTTTTTTTTTCGACAAACAAATCCAAGTACTTGAAGATGATGGGTTCTAAAACAGATTCTGACCTCACTTATCAGAGTATTTTTAAATATGGTATGAAGTGATACTTTTGGAATTTTTAGATGATGTCTTCATAACATGTCGAAACTGATTCCAAATGATTTAAAAAGTAAATTAGATATCACTTTGTTTAACAAGATTATTTAATAATAAATTTTGTTTATTTAAATAAGAATTACTAATATTTTAGTTTTAATTGCAAAATAATAATATTATAATTTTTGATGTTTATTTTTTTGAATTTATCTTAAAATTTTTTTAAATATTATTTAATCGTTTTAGAAAACTATAATTTATAAGTATATTACATAAAATCATATTAATTTAATTTCAAATAAAACATTGATATTTTAAATTAAGCGCCTTTTTAATTTTAAAGTATCGCTCGGATTGTTGGTAGATGTCTCTGATGTTAGTAATCAGTCCGGTACATAAGTTCTGATTTCGACTCATTTTTAAATCAATTTCCTGAACTTAATAAGTGTATTTAACAGTTGTGTGTTTGTGCATTAGAAATTAGGAAATATTCCAAGTGGAATTAACAACCTAAATACCGAAAGAACTAAAACGCTGCGCCGTTAGACCGGCTTTAAAGGATGACGTCTTCACAGGTGAAGCCACAAATGAACAACATGGCCGGTACAGGGACTGGTTGGCCGCGAAGAAATAGCCAAAATTCGTCGGCTACCACACCTACAAATACTAGTTTTGATGCGAAAAATTTCCCTTCTGCTGCGCTTAACAGAATAATTAATTTGTAAGTAGTTTTTATTAAGTGTAAAAGTGGTTTAAGTTAAGATATGTTTAGTTAGAAAAAAAGTGAGGTTAGCGTCACTTTTTTTTGACGTTTACGTTTTATGAATATTAAATTTTATTTTCTTATAGATATCCTTTAACGAATTATACGTTTGGTACAAAAGAACCCCTGTTTGAAAAAGATCCGAGCGTTCCCGCCCGTTTTCAACGAATGCGGGATGAATTCGAAAGGATTGGGATGAGGAGAAGTGTTGAAGGGGTTTTGTTGGTTCACGAACATGGTTTACCACATGTGTTACTTCTACAATTAGGAACAACGTTTTTTAAATTACCCGGTGGTGAATTGAATCCTGGAGAGGATGAAGTTGAAGGATTGAAGCGGCTATTAACAGAGGTAAAGTGAATTTTTTGTTTTATTTTTCTTTTTTGGGGGGATTTGTAAAAGTTACGGATAAAGAAGAATGTATTTAGCATGTCGAAAAAAGAAAAGAAAATTCAGCGATATTTGTAAATTTTGTACCTATAAAATTTAGTACTGTAACTTCGTTTTTTCTGTAAAATGAAAGGTCTTTTTAATTTAAGTAAGTTGTGGAGTTGATTTTTCAATGGTTCAAAAGAAATAATATAAAAATAAACAAAAAAGGTTTTGTTCAAAGCTGCTTTTTGATTTTTATTTTAAGTTACGATAAAAATGTTTTGGTAAAAAATTGAAAAGCATGCGTTAATAGAAGACTGTAATATTTTAAATAAATATAAAATAGATTTTATAACGCTACGTTTTTTTTCTCTATCTATGAAAATTGTAAAAAGTGACATGTCGAATTTTAAAATTACTCCTAATTAATAAGATTTAATTTAAAGTGTTTAAGTCCATTCAAATATCGCAATCGGAATTATTTGATTTTTCTTTTAAACTAACGAGAAAATAAAAACATTGTTTGTCTTTAAAGTTGATATATCCTGTATTATGAAATAATAATAATAATCGATAAATATGTCTTTATTATTTTGCTTTCTGTTGTCGAGTTGTATTGTGACTCGATTAAAAAAAAAAATAAAAAACGGCGGACCCCGTTGCTTCTTCACAAGTGAGTTGTTGCAGACGCTGGGTAGACAGGACGGCGTGAAACAAGATTGGCTCGTTGAGGACATTATCGGAAATTGGTGGAGGCCGAATTTCGAACCACCACAATACCCATACATACCACCGCATATAACAAAACCCAAGGAACATAAGCGTTTATTCCTCGTGCAACTTCAAGAAAAGGGTACTGTAGATATATATACACAATACATTTAACATTAATATTTTTAGATATTTATATATACCTATATTTTATTCTATACACAAATGTTTTAAATCTTTAAAAACCTTTCATATTTAAAAAGCTTTTTATCAAATCAAGTTGTAACTGGAAACATATTATGTATTATGTTTTTAAATAACTTGATAAGATAAATTGTTTATTAAAATATGAAACCTTGTGAAAATTTTTAAAACATCCGTGTCTAATAGAATTGTCTCGAAAGAAGACTGTATTTTTTTCTAAATATGTTGATTTCAAATAGGAAGAAAATTTCTATGGTTATCGCGCGTTTGTTTGTTATATAAAACGTTTATTTACTGGTGAGTTATTGAGAGAATAAATTTATTTAATGTTTTGTAATTTCGGTTTCGCACAATATTATATACAATGCTTTAGTAATTATTTTCGTCGAAACTGGTGTTTCAAAACGCCTAATAAATTTGTTTTCTAGATGATTCACATTATTAATGATTCATAACGAAAATAAGTTTATTGTATGAAATAGAAAAGAAAAATAAAGTTTAGTCGTCTATTTTTTTTGTAGACTTTTATAAGTGTTTGATCAAGTACAGGTTATTATAAAGGAATGAACCGATTTCATTGTTACGCAATGTTGATATAAACGAAAAATGTACATATATGAACATAAAAAAATGTTTGTGGTGTAATTTTTGAACACCTTTGCAAATATATTATGTTAAGAAGTTTTTTTAATTTTAGGTAAATTGTAAAATGATTTAAGTGGCCCATTAATCTATTTCACAATTGACGAGAGGTATTATAGAACTTTTTATGTAAACTAACGCGATGGGAACGCAATAAGAAACATGATCTCACTCTATGGTACACTTATTATCACCTACATTGCAAAAAAAATATCTTGATATTTCTCTCAACACATACAACTTATTTTTTTAATTATTACATACTATAAATAACTACTATCCCTGCAAATAGTCAAGGCCCCTCACTTTAGAGATCGATATCTTCGCAACCGCTCGATAAAAAAAATTGCGACAAAGTTTGTTCTAATCACTGAACATTTCTACGTAACATATCTTAATTTGAAAATTTTCGAATCCACTGTTTTCTTCCGATTCTTCCGGAAAAAGTATCCGATTTTTTATGGTACCTGCAACTTTGTCAACTTTGCGATTTTTTTTCTCGAAAACTATCGTACGAAAAAAATTTAATTCTGAAAAGGTGGTAGCCTGATGTGTTCTTAATGAGTGGCATATTTTATTTTTTTGATATTCCATACAGTTTCGCAGAAAATCGCGGTTTAGTAAGACGCCGTTATGTCGAAAATGGCTGGGTAGATTTCCTCGCGGATTCGACCAAAATATGTCAAATAATGTCGGTTATCGGATTCCGTTATCAGTTTTTCAAAATTAGAGCTCCCTAATTTTTTAATGGAATTATAAATTAAAGAGAAACAGAAATAAGCTCTGCGGGGCGACGGGGTTTTCGTCCAATCGGAACAGATGGTGCATCCCAGACAGTACGTCGCGCCTTGTTTCTTTATGTAGGTAAAATAAAGGCGCGACGTACTGTCTGGGACTCACCATCTGTTCGGATTGGACGGAACCCTCCTCTCCCCGCATAGCTTATTTCTGTTTCTCTTTAATTTGTAATTCCATTAAATCACTCTTTAAAAATTAGGGAGCTCTAATTTTGAAAAACTGATAACGGAATCCGACAACCGACATTATTTGCATCCTACTAAACCGCGATTTTCCGCGAAACTATATGGAATATCGAAAAAATAAAATATGCCCCACATTAAGAACACATCGGTTTACCACTAATTTTTTCGTCAAATACTTTTGGGAAAAAAAATCGCAAAGTGGACAAACTTTTTTCACTTAACTCGCGATAAAAGAAAAACCGCTGATCCGAAAATTTCCAAATTAACATGTGATCCGCAGAAATGTTCACTGATTACAGTAAATTTACCACAATTTTTTCCATCGAGCGGTTACCAAGATATCGATCTCTTAAGTGAGGGGCCTTGACTTCTTGCACGGATTGTAGGTAGATTTTGTAATTGGTTAAAATCTTGGTAGGCTTTTTATTCCTCTAAAATATTAATAATTCTTGTGAATAATTATGATTATATTTACTTTGTTTAAGTTTTATTGTCACCTGGAGAAAACTCTGAAGGTAACAATAAAATTGTAACTACTCAATATTATGATCATTAAGTTATTACATCTTGTTATTACGAAATTGAATATAGGGAAGATAGGTGTAGTCAGATTAATACATACAATCCGCTGATAAATAATCGATTGTATTTTGGGCAACTCATGTATGGTCTTCACCACTTATCAATTGAAATATAAACATGTTTTAGCAATATCAAGTTGAACTTATAATTCAAGGTTGTAAACAATACAATCATGTTAAAAAATGTATGATTTTATTTAGTATTCTATATGTTAACATTTCTCTTCATTATTTAATGTTAAAACTATTATAGTTTTCTGTTTTATATGTAGTAGAAATGTACTCTCTGAGATATGTCAGTAGATGTATTAAAATTGTTAACACTTTCTGATGTTTGTTTTTAAAGTTGACACATCCAGCCATTTAGAACAATCAATAACTATAATATATGATTTTCACAAATATCTACTTCTAATTTTGAAAATTATCTGTCTGGTATTTCATGAAGGAAAGGAAAAAATCAATAACGTTCTATTCTCTGAAAGCAATGGTTATTCACGACTTGATATTTGCAAGGAGGCGTACCTTTAAATTTTCCACGTTATTTCTCGAATATTTTTTGCAATTTTGGTGAATATCTCAGAAACTAATTAACGGATTTACAGTAAGATTTTGTTGTGAAAAATTAAGTTATAAAAATATAACGTCATTTTTTTTGAAAAAGGTGATAAAAAACGGAACAAACAAAGAAAGTTTTATTAGATTAAGTGATCCACAGTGCTTAATCTGATACATTTTAAATTTAATGTCGTCCTCATTAGAAGATTCACTATCAGAAACTGTAATAATTAAACTTTCTGTTGCCACATCAATTCGAACCTCGTTTTCTAAACAATTGTTTTCAACTTTAACAACATTTTGACAACACTTCAACCAGTCTTCAACTTGTTCATTATGATGGAAGATGTGGAATTAACTTCTCTGTAAGCCATTTCTCATAATTTTGCGAGTTCATGTCGCTATGGTAGTCTCCGCCTTTGGTTCCAGATTTAAAAATCAAGAGACAGATAGGTATGAAACCCGTTTCACCACCGGTGTGAACAATAACTAATCGATTGCCTTTAGATATGGGTGGTAGTAAACCATTAGTGCTATTGTCTGTCCAAATATTGGAACTAGTATGACTTGAGTGAATGTAAGTTTCATCTAAAAAGACAATAGGTGTACCTTGGCACCTATAATATTTAATTTTATCCAAATAATTCAACCTTAAAGCGCCATTGTCCTTATTTTTCCCCCACTTAAATCCAAGGTTTTTAATAATTGTCTGCAGGGAGGTACGTTTTCCCGAAACGTCATATTCCGCACTTCATTTTGGTTGTAATTGTCGACATCCTTCGGTTTTGCGGAAATTATAAATCATATTTTTAATATCCATTTGTTCCCATTCCGGTATGTTGGTTTTGGCGCACATTCTCTTACGTTTTTTAGGAGAACTGAATGTTATATTATCATCACCATTGTTTGAAACTTGTAAATCGCAGCCTTCATGTAAGATTCTCTTTATAGTTGCCAGAGACACTCCTGTAGCACTTATAACACGGTTTTTTAACTCTATTTTATTTTCATTTGGAAAAATTGTTTTCAAATAATGATACACCTTAAATATAATACCCTTCGACTGAGAATTAAGTTCCTGCCTTTTATTTCTCACTTCGATTGATTTCTTTTCATAAGAAATTACACTGCACATGCATAACACAACTTGCGTTACGTAAATCGATTGCAATTGACGATAAACAAACTCGCATTGCAAGTATCAAAACCCATTTGCTATGCCGCCGCCAATGACTTTTGGGGTGTCAGATGTTATAGATTCCAAGAATCTGACGTAGTGGTTTTCTGAGAAATTTGGCTCGACAAATATCGTATCAGCTGTATTTTTTTTAATGTTTTTGTATCAGTATCACTCACACTCGCTTCTTGTTTGGCGAATATATCTCTACATTAATTTTATTTCTTTTTAACGGGATTTCTTTTTCACACAAATTCACATCTAGAAGAAAGCCGTAAATATTTCTAATTACTTTTCTATATAACTGGGAAGGATAGTTACATAGAAAAATATATGTTTTCACCAATGCCAAAAACCTGTTTGCCAGAAAAATAGAAAGTTCTATTGACGTTTTCTTCGAAAAATCTACCATTCTTTAAGTTTCTTGAATTTGTGAATGATTTTAATCATCGACTCGTAATTCCGTGATTAAAAGGACATGTTTCTCTTGATCGCTTACTCCTGAATACTTTGAATGTTTTCGTAACCGTTTCGACATGAACAACAAGCATGTTAATGGATCTTGTGGGATTTGAGTTAATCAATATAAAATGGGACGTTCATCAATATGATCGGTAACACTATATTCATTTTAGTCAATATTTTAGTTTCGGCAATATCAATATTTTATACTTCTTTAATATCCAATTCTTATAAAAATCATACGTCATTAGAGTCTTACTATATACTTCTGAAAAATTGTACGCAAATTTTGTGCAAGTCTCAGCATGCTTCGCTAAGAAATCACTTTTTCATTACTGTTTATGAATATTCCTCGATAAATAATGGAAATGTACAAATTTGAAGTCATTGGTAAACACGATGCCGTTGATTTTTTTGTAGTTCACTCGCATTATTAAAATATTTCTAGGAGGACCCAGTAGGATGCATTTGATAATTTGCTTGAAGAATATTTTATTGGAAACGTAGAGAATGTTAATATGGGCACAAGAGTATTTAGATTTATTTTTTTAAACGTATTTTGTCAATACATACCCACTTCTTAGAAATTTAGTTCTATTTAGTTCCACTCAACACAAGTATCATCCTTTAAAACAATGTTTTAATTCATTCCAAACAATTCATCTTCATATTATTTACACATTCAACATTATGAATTTGCAGATGAAGTTTTCTCACAAATTATAGACCACATGTACCAATTATCTCTACGAAATCTTTAATTCATTGTATATTTCCATTTCAATGAGAAAAGTTATTTATTAGACTCTAAGGACTCTCACTATTTCTTGGTCATATTATATAAAACTGTATCTATGAAGTTCTTATGAAAGCTATTTTAGTGGTTTAATGGTAAATTTTATTTGGCCATAACAAAAAAAAGTTTGTTATTGATCTGTAAAGTTTGAAATTATGCTTTTTATTGTGAATGTATCAATCCTACGTTCTCGTCAAGTGTGAAACAGATTTACTTTTAGTTAAGTTACCAACAAAATATTTAAAAAGATTAAATTAACAATTCTAATTTGTACTCAAGTCAATTAATAAAATTATTAGAACTTGGGTTACAATTTTTGTAAATTGATTAATAATTAATCATCATTTTTAGCGACGATTTTTGAACTAATTTAGAAATGAAACCTCCCTTTTTCTTGTCCTTATTTTTGTTCTTATCAGAAATCACATGGTAGGATTAGTTTACAAACATATATTAGTGTAAAAATATTAATAAACACTCATAAAAAATGGTAAATCCAAAAGAAGATTATCACATTGTGTTAAAAATGCATTGTTTTCGTTATTTACTAAATTAGTAGTACTAATTGGTCTAATTCAAACCTGCTTTGTTACGATTTAAGTTTCCGAACTGCGAATATTTATGCTTTAACTAGAGCATTAACAAACTCTAAAAAACCACACAAAAGATATCCCAAAAATGCTTGAGAATAATCCAATTTTGTATAAATACCTGGACAAATCTCAAAATCAAAGACAATTATGTACAATAAAATCGATTCATTCTTTTATAATAACCCTGTACATTTAAAAGAAAATGTTTCATTCTATTTGGAATTGTTCCAATTGAGATTCGGTTGATTTATTGATCTGCCATTATAAGATTATTTGATAAAATTGTAACGAAAATATTTGTAGTGTAATTTTTTATTCAAATTTATGTTTTATTAATTACTCAAATTATAAAGTTACATTCATTTTCATTACAATTTCTTTTCTCATTTGTACCATACTCCATTGTACTTATATTTCGTTTTATTATTTTTTTTGTATACCTAATCATCCCGTTTATAAACAAAAGTGGCAAGTCAAAAAATACGCCAATAAAAAAAAAATAAAAATACCATTTTTTACTTTGAAAATTTAGAACTACGTAACGATCGTTTTGTAATTTTCTTGTACGCGTGAAAAACTTGCATGTGGAACGAATGGAATGTTTGACTGTTGAATTGAGTACTATTATTGAGTTTAATGGAGAAAATGGTGTTTGAAGATCGTGGTAACTACATTTTAATGGTTTTTGGATAATGTTTCCATGAATTTCAACAATACTTTTGTATGTCTGTTGTGTTGTTTTTGTATGAAAACTGAGATTTTAATAAGTAATTTTTTATGTATGTGATAATTTTTTCGTTTTTTTTAAATTTATTTACTTTTTTAATTTTTATTTTTTTTTCAATTAATCAACAAAAATTTTTTTGGTTTCTTTGTTTTTATAAGGTTCCTCTTGACTCTTTTTCTCGAGAAAAGAAAATTAAAAGGAACTACTTTTCCTTTCAATTTTATTTTATAGAGATGAGAACGATAAAAACGATTGTATACGATATTGTATAATCACCCTGTACAAAATTGTATCTTACTATTTTAATATATTGAAGTCGTACTTTTTGTTTTTCTATTATTCTTTGTTGTAGTATTTTTTAAAAGAAACAAAAAAAATTGCCAATTCTTGTTTTAATCTTGTTATTATCTTTTATAGCTCTTTTTGCTGTACCTAAGAATTACAAGTTAGTTGCTGCACCACTTTTTGAACTGTATGACAATTCACAAGGATATGGACCTATTATATCCTCATTACCTCAAGCTTTATGCAGGTAAATAATAAAATACAATATTAAGAATGGCGAAAACTATTTTTTTGTTGTTCTTAGGTTCCAGTTCATTTACATGTAAAGACAAGGACGAAATAAGGACATGAGGAAGAGATGATGAAGATTTGTTAAGACGATGTGAAAATAAGAAATTCACAGGCTTATTTTTCTATATTAGAAATATAATATAATAAAAATAATTGTCATTGACCCATTTAGATGTAGTTTGTGTTAGATATTCTTATAGTTATTTTTCTTTATCTTTGTAAGTTGTAAGTTTAGTTTAATTAATTAAAGTAAAATCTAAATATGTTTGTGGTAACTTTAAGGCACAAATATAAAACTACATGGATTTATTATCATAACTTTTATTAATTAATCCATTGAATTTATTTATCATCATAAACATAAATTTTTGAATGCTTTTCTATTAATAGAATATCTTTTTCTAGTTGATTTATTAAATTTTCAAGCTTCTGTTTGCGGATAATCTTCGGAATGGTATCAATTAAAAGCGGAAGTTTTTGGAACTCTCTTTGTAAGTCAACCCAATTTTCTTTTAAACCCTGCAATTTTAAATATAAATTAATTATATGAATCAGACGAAGTGTTTTTCAGGTAATTTTCATGTTTTAAAATTACTGACTACTAAAAAAATAGTATTTGAAAGTTCTACAAGACATTTGGAATACTGTAGGAATTATATAAATTGGTCTAATTTTTATAATCTTGTGTTATCAAAAAATACTTACAGCTAAAACTTTATCACGATCAATACATTTTACACTCTCCTCTGCAAAATGAGTTTCAATTTGACGACTTTTATCTTTTTCCTTATGAAATTCCTTAACATATTTTGGAACTTGTCCATATTTTTTGCTAAAAATATATTTAGGTAATAATCCATCTCCCATTTCAACTCTTCTCCCATCAACACTGACCACAATCCTCTTTACAGGTTTGGAACTTTTCATCTTCGTTACATCTTCGATATTCTTTAAAATAAAATTTTTACCTTTATGTCTTAATTTTTCTTCCTGCTCACATAATACAACATCTTTTAACGGCACATCCGGTCTTTTCGCACTCAAACTACATGAAAACCTGCTTTTATTTTTTAAATCTTGTAGGTTTTCTAAAGGTACAGATTGTCGCCCGTTTCGTTTTTTTAAGAAATCTTGGGGTTGCGGTCGTTTTATTTGAGCCGGAACCATAGTTGCGCGTTCTTTAAACGTTTTTAATTGTTTTTTTTCGTTTCTGACAAAAGCGGTGTGTCGAGATTTGTACTTTTTCTCAACAAGAATTTCCGGAGCCTCGTCAATACGTTCGCAAATAGTGTAAATACTTTCATTGTGATCGGAAATTTGCACTATGGACATTGTTTGGAGGAACGTTGGTGTTGGAATGTGTGCTCAAAATGTCTGCATTGGGGTGGTTTTAATGCGCCAAGAAAATGTTTTATTGATCTAACTTAAAACTTGGCAACAGTTACAGATTTTTAAGGGCAGATCTAAATTAAAAAAAGTTTTATAAGGCATTGTTGTTTATTTTATAATAGAATACATCTTCATAATTAGAAAACGTTATTTTGTTTTAAAGGAATTTTTAATATTATAAATTTGATGTTTTAGATATATTTTTTCTGAAATCGATGCTAAAACGTTAAGCTAAAATAACATGTTTCTTGAACTAGTCTAAGCATAAGCGAATATATTTTATCCTGGTTTATTCTTTTATCCAATGTTTATCATCATCTTCCATGGCCCCACAACCCTCTCTGGAGCTTGGCTTATTCCAAACATCTTCCGCCATTTCGATCTGTTCCAAGACATCCTTCTCCAATTAACGATGTCAAGAGTTTTGGTGTTGTCCTTCACCTGATCCAGGTATCTTGTATTGGGTCACCTTTATGCCTTGTTCCGACGACAGTTTGTTTTGATATTCTCTGGACGTTTCCCATCAGCGCGACTGATCTTTATAAACGCAACAACATTAGCTCTCATAGGCTCTCTGTACCTCTCTCCATTTTCCAACAGTTCTTTGTATATATGACGTATATTTGACCCTTGTCTTAGAGTCATACACCAGGACCACTTATATTAGAGTCATGTACAGTTAGGATTTTGTAGCTCTTCATAGGCCGTCCGATTTTGAGTGACTAATCATACTATAATACTCCCCATTTGCCAGGAGTAACCTTCTTTTTACCTACTGGTATCCTTTTTAGAGGTTTCCAATGAGCCCAAATACACGAACTGTTGCACACGTTCAAAGCTGTATTCCCCTACCGTTAGGTTTTGCAGCTGTCATAGCTGTTTTTTCCGCAGCACGTTCTTCTTTGATTGTGTAAAAAAGGAGTTTCCCTGCAGTCTGATAATATGTTTGAACATTTCCAACAATATGTATGAACGTTTTTGACTTTTCATCCCTTCCACAAATGAGGTATTATGCCGATTTTTATATTTTGAAAATACCAAGATAGAGTTTCTTTAGTGCCTAGTTATAACTCCTAATATTTAAAATGTCTTCGTATTGAAAAAGTGCTAAAGCGTCTATTCCGCGGAAACGGCATTTTCATGGTAATCAATTTACCAAAGAAGAGAGAAAATTGCATGATATTCTGCAAACACAAAAAAACTATTCACAAGTAGTGACCATATTGTATGGAACAACAAATCGTTTTACACGAGTTTTTTGAACGTGTTCACTACTCTAGCTCTTTACTAACGTATTCTTTATTGCGATGTAAAGACATTTTGAGGAATTAGGATTCAGACGATCACTCGTTTTGCGTTGTCACTGGTTGTAGAGACAAATCAATACTGACTATGAAGTAAATCGTAGGAATTTTTGGTGCGATAGATTGAGAGAAAGTACACAATAATATTGATCATCAACATACAGCCACAAAATCGGTTTTTAAATTTTATAGTATACAAGTAATGAAGAAGCAAAAAAAAATGAAAGACAAAAGACATCTTCATCGAGTTTAAAATCTTCGAAATCTGAAATTATAAAACTAAACTTTTTACCTTCTGTAAACTCTAATTTCAAACTTCTTCTTAAAGTTGGATATCTGTATCTTATAGTGCGCAAAACCAAAACTCTACATATATGAGTGCAATAATTTCATACATTTTCTTCGAATCGGACATGTGTGATTTGTCGAGTATAATGAAACCATCTCTTTTAAATCATCATCATCACTTTGGCACTACGGTCCTGTAACATCCTTCGCCTTTCGGACAACCTGTCTCATCATTTATGGCGGTCCCGTGCGCGTCGTCTTCGGACTCCCATCGCTTGAAGACGTCATCTGCTCATCGATTGCGGGTTCTTCTGGCATGCGTTCCAGATGGTCCAGCCATCTAATTGGGACACTTTTAATCTCTGCAGCAAGTGTTGGCTCTTTGTATAGCTGGTTGGTCACTGGCTCGTTCGTTGGTTCGTATCCTTCTTTCGCTCCTACGAGTTGAGGAGTTGCTCGTTTCTCACTGTCATCACCACTTTCCTTACAATGGTACGATATATTTGGGCTTTGGTTTTCTGCAATCATCACAACAATCATGACTTCAGCAAATGCTGCGTGCTGAAATATGCTCTATTTTCACCTTTCTCTATTCATCTCTCCTTGATCTGTATGTGGTTTTCGTTGTTTCCGGTGATAAGCGGCCGATTCTAATCTGTACCAGACAGCGTTGGGGTTTCTGTTCCTTATCATAAGCATAGATTTTGTCTTTACCTCGTAAGCAACTATCTGCAAGCCCTGCTCTTTTTGATTCTTCCTCAAACTGTGCAAAGCTCTCCACTAAGTCCCTTTCTGTCCTTGCCAGCAGATCAACATCATCACCATAGGCTAAATAATGCGCTGATACTGAATAGGTAGTGTTCTCCCAGGGTTGATACTGATCTTTCTCGCTACTCTCTCTAGAGTTAAACTAAAAAGTACACAAGAAAGGGTGTCCTTGTTTAAATACAATGGGTGATTGGGAAAACTCGATCCTGCAACTTTCACTCTGTTTCTAGAGCTTATGTGGCGCACTCAACATTTCCATCGTCTAAGCTTACCCTGCCCTAAGCTTACTGATAATCTATGAATCGTTACTGGATTAATATGTTGTACTCGTAGCACTTTTCTAAGAAGCATCTCATCGTAAAATTGTGAACACTTTGTAGGTTACATTTAGGAGGGGTGTTCCTTGGTGATTGGAGTATGTGTCCCATTTCTCCGGCATCTTTTCTTGTTGTTTAGATTTCTTTATTGATATTTACTAATAATAAATTATAGCAGAAAGATTTAAACACAAAACAAGTTGTTTCAAAAAAATTTTATTTGTATAAAAAAATGACTAGAGTTAATTCGTTATACAGGCTATTAAACACCTTGAATTTACATTAGCACTATTTATGATTATTCGATTTTTACCTTTCAATGTTATACCAGTTAGAATAATCATTTAAATAATTTGAATTATTGTTATAAAACCAATTCGTATAATTAGAATCGTAACAAATCGCGTTATAATTTGGAATATCGCCGAAATTTTTTGTGTTGTATCCATTGAGATAATTCACGTCGCTTTTAGAAACGTAATTATTATAAACATTTTGGGGGGAATATCCCAAAATAGCTCCACTTAAGAGATTTGCCGTCGTTTGACTTAAATCTTTACTAAGTATTTTAATAAATCTTGTAATTTCCATTGGTCTTCCTTCTTGTAACGTTTGAGTCATCGCTGAAATGTAATTTCGTGCCAAACGGAGTGTCTCGATTTTTGATAATTTTTGTGGCGTTGAATGCATATCGACATGAGTTCTTGTTATCGGCATACGACTAAAAATTAATTATAAAGTTAATAAATTTTTTTCTTAAATATTATGAATTAAGAAAAAAATAACCTTCTTAATCTATCTAAAGCGGCATTAAGTCCATGCATTCGATTTCTTTCTCGAGCGTTCGCCTTTGATCGTCTTAATATGCCTTTGTGAATAGGAAATTTGTGACTCGTTTTAAACCCGTTGTTGCACTTTTCCATATTTTTGTCTCGTGTGCCGTTCGACGAAGAAAAAACTTTGTACGCTCAAAAGCTCAAAGCTTTTATACTCTATTAGCGTTATCTAAAAGTTTCGTTTCAAATCGACGCGAATCCCGATAAGAAATACCTGTTAGTTGTTGACTTATCCCACGCCATATGTCACCCCGTACGTCGTCATCGGGGGCCATATGTCGCCGTGTGAATTTATTAAACCTAATCCGGGTTAATATCTGCTTGTTTTACTTTTACCTATTGATAATATATATTAATAATAACCATATGTTAATAAAATAAATTTTAATTTTAAAAACAATGACAATGTTTCACAATAATTAGCATGCTGACTAGAAATGATGGGGCTGAAACTCCAAAATAGGACTCTTATAATAGAGAATGTGTTTTAACCACACGTTTTAACACGTGCGTGTTATAATTTTATTTCATACTCTTAGCTTAAAAAAGCGTGGAATGTTTAAATGCCAAGAAAATAAACTTAATAAGTAAAACTTGGATATCACCGGGAGACAGATTCAAGAAAAACATCAATAACTAATTGCAAAACCTACCTAGGTGATGATTGCAGATCCGATCACCAATTACTAGTAATGGAGCACAGATTGAAAATGATAACAATAAAAAAGGCATCTAAAGATAATAAGATGACATCGGAAGAAATGCAGTTCTTCAAGGCGAAAATGCAACTTCAATTAAACAACATTAAGAAAAACGCCACAAGTCAAAATGTTCACTATTCAAGAAACAAGTAGAGGAATTTACAAAAAAAACGGCAGAAGAATAAACAACATAAGCACTGGATCATGCAAAAAACAATACAGCTAATCGAAGAGAGGAGGATAATGAAGATGAGGCATTGACACTCATAAAGATAATCTTGTACAGCCAATTATGTAAACAATTACACAAGAAGTACCGACAAGACAAAAACAAGTAGATTAAGAGAATATGTGAAGAACTAGAAGGATACCAGAGCTGAAATAAAATCTGCATCACATTCAAGAAATTAAGAGTCCTCGTACAAAATCGTATGCTAAAAAGGATGACCATCCAAGACAAAAATGGGAAGATATTGTGGGAAATGGTCAAAATTGTGAACAGATGGAAAGAATACTGTAGTGTATTCTTTCCAATACAATGAAGAGACAGGTGGCTTAACATACTAAGACCATGCAATAAGTCACTTAATCGAATAAAGCCAAGGTCTATAGAACATAAGGTTACCCAATACCGATTCTCCTCCTCTGAGAGGCAAGGTGGGTCAGTGACGTAGCTGGTTCTATGAACAACACAACACGATGCGAGGTTTAAATATTTTATATAGACTGTACCACAGTATAGGCACGTATAGGCTATCTTTTATTCTGACTGTATCGAACCAGTGACGTCAATTTGCGGGGTAATAATCGATACTACAGAGGCATAGGGAATGAGGTAACCTTATGTTCTATAAACCTTGGAATAAAGCTATCGTCTGGGCCTGGTTTAGATGCGGAGATGCTCCAAGCACTAGGAGACGACGGAGTGAACATGATGTTGGACTTATGCAACAAAATATGGCAAACTAGACACTGGCCTAATGATTGGATGCAATAGATTTTTATACCAGTACAGAAAACAGGCTCTACACAAAAATATGAGGATTACCGACTCATCACACTTATCTCTCGTGCTAGCAAAGTACTGTTGAGAATAGTCGATCAAAGGCTAAATTATTATCTAGAACGATAAATCCCTTCAAAAAAAGCAGGCTTTGTTAAATGTAGAGAAACCAGAGATCAGATCTCAATATCTGTCAACTGAGAAAAACCTTGATTGAAGACCTGTCCAAAACTAACAACCGAACAGTTCAATTAGAAAACATTAGCACTGGGCCCTTTAAGGTCCGAAAGGACGTAAGACGAAGATGTATACTGTATCTCAGACTATTCAATACATATGGCGAATATATAATACGACATACTCTTCAGCACTACGACGGAGGGTACAAGTAACTTCATTACAAGTACGAAGTAGTAATTATCTATAGCAACTTCAATGATTGATCGGAAGCAAGAAACTAGATAATCTGCGCTACTCTGGCGAAACAAGTATACTAACCAAGAGAAGAAATTGGCAAAAATGCTCAACTGATTACTAATAAAATCCGCTCACTAAGGTTGGAAGTAAATTTCGTTAAAACTAAATTCTATTTAACCAGTTATCCATGTTGTAAGTGACTGAAATATAAAATTAAAAACAGATGAAAAAACTTCTAACTGGCTTTATTTTGTTATATAAATCGGAACCGGTTTCGGAATCAACGTTCCATCATCAGCTGAAAGCTAATAAAAGGTAGAAAACTAATTATAAAAAAATACATTAAAAATTAAAACATCAACTTACTGTCAGAGAAACTAATAGGTGATACTTTTATAACAAACCACGTTTCATTATCACACTTTTGTAACTTTAAAGACTGAACAAAAATGCGACTTATGAAGGCTCTGGTTTTTTCGATATTTCGACAGGGTTGTGTAGTTCCGAACAGTTCTGAACCGCGCATAAGTCTAATATGCAATATGTATGCGCAGAAAGGTTCAGAACTGTTCAAAAGTACTCTTGAACCAAAACAGGCCTTATATGCAGCAGACTCATGTTTCATCTCCAGGTTAGAAAGAAGAACAAACACGTTAATTCTCAACCTTTAAAATCAATTAATGACATTACTGTTACCAATAACTTTGTCTGGGGTGCTTGTTAGGTGGATTGAGTATCTTAATAGGTATCACTGCCAACCCCAGATAGAGGAGGAGGGTTGTTAAGTTCCATTGAGTTTAACAAACCTGCATTCATCTGCGTTGTAGATCTTTCCAAAGCTTTTGACAAGGTCCGTCTGACGGACGTCATAAACATCTTAAAAGAAAAGAACGTGCCTGCTAACATAATATATGAGTTGGATACGAATTACAAGACTAAAGTAAGAGTAGGGAATCAAACAACGGATTCCCAGGAAGGAATTAGGCAGGGTAACAGTCTTATTCCATTTCTATTTAATCTTCTAATCTAATGGATAAAATCACAGAAGACGTAACATCTTTAGATATAGGGTACGTGATGGACATCAATAGAGCTAGGATGGTGTGCATAAGCAGATGATGCAACAATAATCATAGGAATAGAAGACGATCTACAACGACAACTACATCACTTCTTTCAAGTAAGCAAACTTAACATGTCTATTTCCGTTGATTGGCCATTACTACTGCAAAAGATCTGGTTAGATGTAAACTTGTAATCAATGATAAGTCAATTGAACAAGTCACGATCCAGATAGACTTTATTTTATTTACTTAGTAGAATTTCCGTATTTAAAAAAATTATCATGATCAGCAGCTTTACACGCCGCAATTATCAAATGCTTAAACACGCATAGCGAGTCCCAAAACACATCAACTCCCGTGCTACGATGTAAATGATCGCACGTGCGCGCCAGTCTCAACATGGGAGATTTCTGGAAGATATTCAGAAACCCAGAAGACATTCAAAGAATAGGAGTAGGCATGTAAAATAAATCGAGCCGAAGACACCGGGGAAGAACACGAAAATTAACGACTTCAAGAAGGCTAGGAGAATCAATACTACCATTAATGATTTTATGGAATGTCAAAGCATATTCACATGTACCACGGTGACGGAGCAATAAGAAGTTGAAGGAGGCACAGGCTGATACGTAATCAATGTAAGCGATGTTGCTTTTAAAACATAGATACTTTAGGAATTATTTTTATACTTTTGAATCCTTTCAATTCTGGTAATATATATTTGATATTGCACATACTATATAGCATAAATATTTTTTAAAATTTGCGTGACTCATAACGAAGCCAAGCATGCCCCAAGCCTTAGCAATAGCTCCATCAATGTGGCCCTCAAACGTTAGTTTAACATCAAATGTGACGCCTAAGTCCCTGACCTGAGTCATTCTAGGTATGGTACATCACCCAGGCTATAATCGTATCTGATTTTTCAGGGTTCAGTGTCAAGAAATTTGAGCTGCAATAAATTACGTAGCGTATCAATGTCGCGCTGTATCCTCGAGCAATCCAAAGTTGAAGACACTCGAGCAAACATTTTTAAATCATCAGCATACATCAAGCAATGAGAGTGTTTAATTATTGAAAAAAATATCATTGATATAAATATTAAATAGAAGAGGGCCTAAGTGACTCCCTTGCGGTACACCGGAGATATTCACCTTCAGAGTCCTTCCACGTGTATAGGAGGCAAACCAACGCACAAGATGTTCATTAATATCAAACATACGAAGTTTCGAAAGAAGCAGAGCATGATCGACTCGATCAAAAGACTTACTAAAATCAGTATAAATGGAGTCAACTTGAAAGGAATCATCCATAGAGTTTAAATTATAGTGGGTGTATTCGAACAGGTTGCTCTCGACCTGCAAAAAAGCAGTAACTTGAGGAACTAAATTAACAAAACATCCGCAATATCAGGGTGCTTGAGTGATACAGTTTACGAAATAGAAGGAAGGATGAGGGAGCATGTTACGAGTGGCCGAGATCACAAGGCGGAGAAGACAGCGGAAGAGAGAATGGCATAACCACGTGGGACGTATGAACAACAACAGACTTTCAAAAACTGTTTTATAAACAACCCCCCTGGCTCAATACCACCTGGGTTTCCCCCAAAGAGATAGCTGGGAACGACATTTCAGGAAAAATTAAATTTATAAAAACTTGTTTGGTTAATCAACTTTATTATCTTCTCTTCTTTTAAGCATCGGAATATCACAAAACGGACATACAACAACTTTCATTTCATTACTAATTTCATTATGAACAACAGATTTACATACTGAACATTTAAAATTAACAACTCCATCAATTTGCATTAAAGAAACACAACATCTAGTATCAAAATGTGGTGGCATACACGTAATATCATCTAATATTTCTCCACAAGTTACACAATTTGAATTAAGATTGTCAAAATTAGTCACCTTCACTTTTTGAATGACATCAACCATAACATTTACAGTTGAATCACTTAAATCAAGTGATTTATTTTCTTCCATAATTACTTGTTTGATGTAATTGCTTAAGATTAATAAATTTTGAAGATAAAATTTTGAAAGTTGAGATGTTTTTTGAAGATTTAAAAGATATTGGGCTCGAATAAGCATTAATTTTAATTGGAGTATTGAAGCAATTTCTTTGTGGGATTTTATTGGGAGTATTTCTTTAAGATTTTCTGCAACAGAATCGCATATTTTTGAGATGAAGAAGAGAAGTTTTAAGGTGTATAAGTCATATTTGTCATAGTTCTGTTGTTGGAATGTATCTAAATGCGGAATTTTTGTCTGAAGTACACTACACCTAAAAAGAATATCATTTAATTTTTTAATTAAAAAACGGTTAAAATGTCTACCTGTAAAGCTCTAAATAATCCCACATATAATTTAAATTTTTTGAAGGATTCTTTAACAATTTTTCTAAACATTTATTTTCATTATTACCAAAAACGTTTAAATCTATTGAATCAATTTGTAACTTTGATTGTTTTGGTTTGCAAAATTTAGTTAACACAAAAACTAAAGCACCATTTTTTGATGCAACCATTCCAATGGGAGATCTCATATAATTATTTATATCCACATAAAAATGTCTCCATTTTATGTCAATTCCTTTTGTTGTATTACTTAAAACGACTTCTTTTACCACTCCAGTTTTTGTTAAAATTAAAACTGTGTTATCCAAAATGATTATATCTAATATTTCAATATTATTACATTCAAATTGGTATGATTCATGTTTGTCACAAGATATGATAATTAAAGTTGTTGCTTTAACCAAAATAATAAAATCGCCAATGTTAGAGTTTATTAAATTAATAGATTGAATTTTAACTCCATCCTTGTTAATTTCCAGGTTACTTTTTTTAATTTTTGATTCTGAACTTAGATTTATTTTTAAAGTTATAACAGAACCTTCTGTATCACCAACAAATAAAAGCCCGTCATTTTTATTGAAATTATCAACAGTTAAACAATTAATTTCCTTAAAATCTGTTTTATATTCAAAGAAATATTCTATTTTTACTTCCAAAGAATCGCCTAAATAAAGTTTCCAAAACGTTATTTTTCCAGATAAATGTCCCAAAATTAATAAAAAGTAACCATCAAACTTTTTGCTCCAAGTTAAACCTAAAAAGAGTGATCAATAATATTTAAAAGCAACAAAAAATTAATAAATTACATTTTACTTTGACCTGATTTACTCTACACATTAACTCATTTAATTTTTGTGTAGCACTTTTATTTTTAACATCACCCCATTTACTTCTTAATATATCAATATACAATTTAGTAACATTATAAATTAATTTATATTCATAATAATAATTATCCAAACAATGTTTAACATAAACTTCAACTATACCATTATTAGTTATAGTAGCTAACACACAATCATAATTTTTATCACAATGAGGTGGAGACCAAAAACACTTTACAAATCGTGAAACATAACGTTGAACTATTTCTAAATCAGGAGTTAATTCAGCATTAAGAATACATTCGTTGTATTTTTGTTGTGGTAAATCAAATAAAAATTCTTCTATGTTTATTCCTAAACTTTCTTTTAAAACATACCCAGATGGTTGTATTAAATATTTTTTACAACATAATCCTTTTAATGTGCACTCTTTATTAGGAATTATTTGATAAATAACCAAACAAGATGATGTTGCTATTGCGATACTACCAGTTCCTGAAATATCTAATGAATATGCATTTTCGGCTTTACTGGGTAAAGATATAGTTTCTAAACGTCTCAAATTAAACATTTTTTTAAATAATATTAATATAAAAATTCAGAAAAACTTTAAATCCTCACTAAAGAGGTTAGAAAACTGACACTTGTTGTGATATATTAGGTTATGTTTGTGGTTTATTATTATTGCTGTATTTGTATACGGATTAAAATAGAATTTCATAAATGATGATAATCATTGAATTCTTTTTCTTTAAATATGTTGTATATTAAAAAATAAAAATTGTTGCTACATAAAATATTTAATTAGTAATGTATAGACAACCCAAATGACACGTTCAAAACAATTTATTGATGATTTTAGCTTGCACTAAAACTAATACTTGACGTAGAACTTTCTAGGTCTAGTGTTAAGGTAAGTTTCCACATGCATGGATTACTGGCGTCAGTCAGCTGACACCAGTTTAGTTGCATGAAGAAATAGCAAAAAGGATAGTTGAGATTATGTCGAAGATAGTTTCCAATTTGGCGAAAACTCGGCAAAGACAAAAATACGAAGTATCCGCAATGCGTATAACAGAAGGTGTTAAATTCGTGCAGAAGTGCAGCATCAGCTGATGATGTGTGTAATTATGACATAATAATGTGTATTATTATTAATTATGTATATTCCTGACATATTTCTATAATTAAAATACCTGATGCACCTGGATAATTTCTACGTGCTATTCACGATTGAACCCAGCAGCTATGTTTTCGTTTGTTTTTGTTAATAACATGTGGACCACTTTGATGTCAGGTCGAAGAACAATGTTCTAAAAACACTACTCTTCGCAGACGATCAAATAATTTTTGCTACGTCAGAAGATAACCTTCGAAAAGCCGTATACTTGCTCAATAGCATAAGTAGAGATTATAATTGCGAAATCTCTAAGACAAAAACAAAACGATTGGCACTCATAGGAAATGAACCAATAAGAACTAAGATATACATTGATAACGCTCGCTTAGAACAGATCAGCCACTTTAAATACCTAGGATGAGACGCTACCTATGAACACGATAAGGAATGTGAATAAATGCAGGAAAGATAGTCAAATGAAATTTTATAAGACAATGGCAATACCGACCCCCTAAACAAGATAGAGTTCGTGGAAAGGAAGTTTCTAAAAGAAGAAACTATAAAATTAAAGAATACAAAGAGAAATGGTTGATCCACGTGCAAAGAATGCAGGATGACAGAATTCCAAAATTGACACTGTAGTATAAACCAAGAGGAAGACGATCAGTGAAACGCCAGAGAAAGAGGTGGTCTGAAGGATAGGTACAGGTCAACAAGGCCTAAACTGTTAAGTAGACGACGACGACGAAGTACATCACTTGACATCATTTTTATTACTATGCTAATATACAATTATCACATTTATTTGGGAACAACTTCTGGACCAGCTAATTGGCACCACTAAACTGGCTTCTTACTGGCATCAGTAATCCATACATGTGGAAATTTAGCTTAATGCTACTGTTAGTTCTTGTTTCAGTCATTATTTAGTGATGGGAGAATTTTGGCTTTCATTTAAAGCTACGTTGTCGTCGTGGCCCTGAGGTTTTCCACCGGTCGTACTAGCAATTAGCAATCGTAATGGTGAGTACTATCTGGGTGTCACGGAGCAATTGTCAGCACAAATGTTATATCAAGTCTAAGGTAATACAAGCCAAAGTCTTTTGTACAAAAGTTATATGATTACGGGACGATGAGCAGTAAATGAAGGAACGTTCATTTCTGATGTCGCTCACTCTCTATCTAGTTAAATGCTGTTATGCTGCAGTACTCCTTCTTTTAGAAATGGTGTGTCAAACTTAATAAACATAAGTTTTTTCAACCTTAACTCAATCATAATGATATTTTTTTCGCAAAATTAACGACTTTTCAGATATGTTCAAACAGCTGATTAATGCAAATTGATATCCATTAAATGATGTAATCCTTATACAGAAGTATACAAAAAGAGCTGATACAACTAAAGCTTAATTTTCCGACAAAAGCTTAGGTTAGTATAAATCCAACATTTCTCTTACTTAATTCCAGACATTTTCTTGCACTCTAAAATCTTAGCAGTGTAATTTCAGACATTTTCTTACAGCGTAGAATTTTGGCAGTTAGATTCGACTTTTTCTTCTAACTCCAATTTCATGCAGTGTCATTCCAAACTTATCTTGCAATCTAAAGTTTTTTCTTATGCAATTTCAAAATGTATTTTGCATTTCAGAAGTAGGCCAATGTAATTCCGTGCTGTTTCTTCCAATATTATTTCGGAGCATAGGTATAGATATTTTCTTGCAGTTTACTGGTTAACTAATACCTATAATTTCAGATTTTTCTGAAGTTTTCGAAGAATCACTATTAAATTGTGAACATTTCTGACCGTAGTACACAAAGATATGATCTACGGGAACCACCAATATCATTGCAAATATTTTTTAGCAACCCAGATTCTGTTGAGAGTAATCCAGAGATTTTTTTGCACTCTAAAATATTAGGAGTGTAATTTCAGAATTTTTTTTACAGCTTAGAATTTTAGCAGTTTGATTCCAGACTTTTTCTTCTAACTCCAACATCATGCAGTGTCATTCCAAACTTATCTTGCAATCTAAAGTTATGTCTATGCAATTAAAACTTACTAATATTATGCTTCTCACAAATTTAGGATCCAGATAGACAATACAAAAATAAGCTCGAAAGAGCTAATATTATAGTTATGTCTATGCAATTTCAAAATTCTTTTAGCAGTTCAGAATTATTCCGGACTGTTTCTTCCAATATCAGGGTTTTCAGAGCATACATATAGATATTTTCTTGCAATTTACTGTTTAACTAATGTAATTTCAGACATGTTCGAAAAATCACTATTAAATTGCACACATTTCTGACCGCAGTATCTAAAGATCATACGGGAATGATTTTAACATTTAAGATATGTTTATTATCACATAACTAAGAGACATGGAGTTTTTTTCTTTTTTTACCAAAACAGATCAGCCTCTCGGTCGGTATCTGTTTAACCTTGAGTTTTGAGACCTTTTTTTTTAAATAGGACTATAAAAATAATCAAACATATTTATATTTTATCCATTTATTAACTTTATTATTAGTCAAGTGGGGTTAATTACAAAAATGGCACGAAATTGATATATCAACCTTTACAGTTATTAAGTAAATTTATACAATAGATAAGTGTTTTTTTTAACTGATGAGTTAAAAAACAGCCGAGTTTGGGAGTTTTAATTAAACGTTAAGAAAATACCACATTTTTTGACACATATGCTTCTTGAAGCGTATCACATGCAGAAAGAAATATAAAAATTAAGTAGTTTTTATTTTAAGGGCAGTTTAATGTGTGGAACTACAACAACGGAAACGTTATTCCGAAAATACACCAATAAGTTAACAGTTTGATTGCTTATACATTTAAGGTATAAGGGAATATTATTTCTTGGGTGACTGGCAAAAATAAATAACTTCTTTTATAGTAATTACATTAAAAAATGAAGTAATCACTAGACATCTGGTAACTAACAAGTTATTTCTAGAAGAGTTCATCTCTTTCCAATTTCTTAATAATCTTATTCATTTTTCTGATGGTATTTTGCATGTTTTGAACTGTTTTTTCAAGTTTTACAATCCTCTGTTTTAAATGGATATTTTCATCGTAATCCAAAAAGGTGGTGTTGTTACTCATTAAGAATTTATCAGTTGGAAAACTTATATCATCGTTAAGATGTCGACGATTTCGCGCATTTAATCTACTTATCGTATTCAATTGACCTGAATATCTGCAATCGCTGCAACATTCTGACCACATTCTTAAATCAACTTTATTTATTTCGTTACAATCAACGTATCCACCTTGTTTTCCAGGGAGAATAAAGACATTATGAGTAATTTTTGTTATATTATCGCCAGTGTCGCATAAAACGCGTGCTAAAGAATATTGTTTAATTTGAGTTAATTGCTCCGGTTTAAAAGTAGACGGATTTTCGTAATAAAATCGATCGCCATCACGTAATCTTCGAAACTGTTCTATTAATAAGCATCTAAATAATGGCCCAACTTTCGCACCAGGTGCTTGATCTTCCAAAACACCACCAACCCAAACATCTATATTCCCAGGATGTCCGTAAAGTTCTTGTAATTTTTTTCTAACATTAGGATCGGTTATTTCGTTCTTTAGATCATCGAAATTATCAACATCAGTCATGTTACAAAACTTTCTAAAGTCAATGTAACCCGGAATTGCGTGATCTCGTGATCTATGTATATTTATAGCCGCTAAATCCAAAGCAACCGCGTGAGCTGATTTAAAAAGTTGCTCAGTTAATTCGGTATTTAAATTTTGATCGGATTTTTTCAATTTAGCCGGAATCGAGTATAAACCTCTTAATAAAGGATCAACTCCTCCTTCATCGACGACGCGCCAAGGTGAAAAGAAAGCTTTGTGTAACGGAAGGTGACCTTCATGAATTGGTTGGAAAGTTTCGTTTAATCTGTGTAATATTGGATTTATTAAAGTGTGACCAAATCTTAAAGCTGCCGTTGCAAAAACGTTTGCAATTGATGGATGGGTTTTTGGGTTATATCCTTTGTATTCGCCTAAAATTTCCATTCCTTGTTTACCAACAATGAATGGTAACCAATCGTTATAAGTTATATGTTGCATAGCGGCACCAACGATTTTTCTTGCTTCTTGATAAATTAAATCGCTCTCCCAATGAGGATTTAATCTCCTTAATTCTTTGGCTAACCTGTTATGTTCTCGCATCCAAACTGTATGCATAGCGATTAATCCAACTTGTTCATTCGCGCGTATATCACCGGCTAAGAAACAATTCACATTACTTTCACTTACATTTCTTCGACAATCCATTCCTTGAGTGCTAGCGTAAGGAAGGAGAGGTTTTCGACCGGGAAAAGTTGGACCAACTCGTAACAACCCTAATTCAGTTGTTAAATCTCTTAAATCCCTCGCTAATTCATCCGAGAACCCGTAAACTTGGGACGCATCGATAAAAGATGTTAGTTGATTTATTTGTTCCCTCGGTTGAATTGCATCAAAGAAAACCGACGTCATCCCGGAACCACAAATCGATGAGGATCGAACAAAATCGATACATCGTCGATTTTGAATTCTTGGATCACCTGGTGGGACATCAATAGGATAACAAGGAGCTGCGTAATCGCAAGACTTTTTACAATCAATTCCATCCCAACTTTCAGAACTAACCGATGGAATTGCATGATCTAAATCGTGATCGAGAAATTGTCCCCATTGCATCACCATGTGCGTTATTTCCGTATCCGGGGTTATTTTTTTCGTTGAAATCAGCGTCGTTGAAATTAATCTAGAACTTGGTTTTGGAAAACCGTAATATTTCGTTTCTTTGTTCCACCCAACTGGGGTACTAAAACCATTTTCGTAAATCGGTTTTAAAATTCTTCTAAATGGTGTTAAAGAGGCGCCCCACAAAGGATTTTGAAGGTTATTACAAGTACCATCGATGTTACGATATTTTGAATGGAAACACATGTCGGTGCAGTTTCTTTTTAAACGATGAGTCATACAACCGGACAATTGAGCAATTAAATCTAAGTGTTCGGTTGACAAAACATCGCGATAATTAAATTCTTTCGTATTGTTCATTACCATGCCTTGTTCGATATGTTTTCGTATATTCACTAAAGTTCGTTCATAAACCTCAGCTGCTCGCGCTAATTCTCTAGCTGGCGCGTTTGGATACCGAATTAATCTAAATAAATCAGCGGAACCGTGTGCTTTATGACTATGAAACAAATTATTTATGGTTCTATTTATAGCACCATCTACTTCTGATTTCGCTTCCAAGAAGGCTACTTTAACATATCTATCCCCGATGTTAATCCCAGCAGGATGAGGGTCGTCTTTAATTGTAATATAACCAGAAGCGGAAATAGTTCCGTGATCGTTATTCGCGGAACATTCGTATCTACCTTGATCTTCTCCAGCTACGTTATAAATATATAAATTTCCGCTTACAGATGTTTTATATCGCCCTGTTATCGGTAAAGTAGAACCATCCTTTCTCCATTGAACTCCAGGAGTTGGATGTCCCTCAGCTTTACACGGGATTTCAATTGTACTTCCAACTACAGCTTCCATGTCGTATGGTTTATAAACGAATTTTGGGGTACGATTTATATTACCCTTTATTGTTAATTTCGCGCTAACATCTCGATTACCCAAATCGTTTCTTGCCTCGCAAACGTATATAGCTTCATCAGATTCTATTATGTTATTTATTTCTAAACGACTTCCATCTTCACTGATATTAATCCTTCCATCGCTGAGTACTTCTATATCGTGTTTGTACCAAATTATTTCTGGCGGTGGTGTTCCTACTGCGCTACATTCAAATCTTGCTGTTGATCCCAACAGAACACTCATACTTTCCGGGTAAGCTGTAAAAACTGGAGGAGCTGAAACGAGAGGAATAACTTAAATTAGTACTGGTGTAAATTTATTACAGAATTGGTGAAAAATCAATATTTTAATATTAAAATGAAAATGATGGACTATCAATATTTGTAAAAGTGCATCGATAGATGATAGAATACATACGTTAGAAAGAAAAGAAAGTTATTGGTAGAAAAGGAGATACATCGACATGCCATTACAAAATATAAAAGTTGTATTTGCAGTAATACATAATATAAATATGATATAATAATTAGTAAAGGAACTAGAAAGATTGGAATGTTCGTTTAAGGTTCGGAGTCTGCTAAGAAGTTAGAGTTATAAAATGCGACTTTTATAAAAAAAAGTTACAGTTGCAAACTGTTAACAGAGAGATGCCTCTCATAAATTTAGGATCCAGATAGACAATACAAAAATAAGCTCGGAGAGAGCGAATATTGCAGCAATTGATGTGGTACGAATAATCTCGTGGACTGGAAAATAGAGAGGCGTGGAAGGTTTCCTAAAAACTATAAAGGAATGTTTAGTAATGTTAGTAATAACTAATGTTTAGTATCAACTTAAGAGATAGAATCAGAAATGAGGATATCCGATGGAGAAGTGGTATCACAGTTATAGTAACACGAGTAGTGGAGCTAAAGTGGTAATAAAGAACAGTGAGGTTGACACGCAAGAACAACGCGCAGTACGGGTAAATCCCCTAGAAGATGGATAGACGACAGAACAAAGAGAATTGTGAAAAGCAGATGGTTTGAGATGGTCCAGAACAACGAAACATGGAAACATATGTAAGAGGTCTTCGTTCAGGAGTGCACAATGGATGGTTATAGAGAGAGAGAGGCTATTAGGGGATGATAAGACATATTTGAAAACTTGAATTGGCTTAGTAATAGATAATTTTTATATTTTCATATACTTAACTAATCATAGGGAAAACTAGCAGCAGTTCTGGAACGTAGTCAAGAAGATGAATGGGGCCAATGTAAAGAAACACGAAATATAACAACCAAAATGGAGAGACTACTGCGTAGCAAGATAGTGATCTACGGATAGAGACCTGGGGGAAAAGGAGGTGAAGGTGTAAGAAGTAGGAGAAGCTTTAAAGGAAACCCGAAATGGAAAAATGGCAAGCGAAGATAACATACAACCACAGCTGTTGTAGACAGTAGAGCAGTGGCTGGATAAAACATTCCAGCAGGCCTAGATTATTGAAACCCCAAGATTGGGAGGAGATCGTAATTGTGCCAATTCACAAAGAAAAATCCACAATCTAACTCCGTTCTGCACGCCAGATCTAGTATACCCAAACGACATTGTACTAATGTTAGGCAATGTAGATCAAAGAAACGTCCAAATATAGAAAACTTGTCTACAAGACAAGGGAATGATAATAAACAGGAACACAAGGAAGATTCTACACAACACAAAAGAGGAAAGAAGAGAAAGCATAGATGTACGAATAGAAGGACAATTACTAAAGAAAGTCGTGCTACAGAATATAGATATCGCACGCAATAGAATAGCAAAAGCAAATGAAGTTTATTATTAGATAAACAATATCCTGGTAGATAAGAAACAACTAAACACTAAAGCAAAATATACTCACATTCACCAACGGGTCGAAAACTTAGACAATGTTAGATAGATATAAATCAAAAATAGGAGCAACATAGATGAAGAATTTGTGAGAAATAGTAGGAAAAACCAGAGAAAATACAGTACAAAACAAAAGCAGATACAGACGAACTACGCTTAAGAGCTCTCTAGTAGAGGAGATAGGAAAAGTATCGCCGAAGTATGACTACAGATCAGAGACCCAACACCGTGAAAAAGAAGAAGATGAAGTAAAGCTCAGAAACCAGTTCTTTCGAGGCTGAGATTAAATAGTGGACATTGAGTGTTACGGCTCTCCAGCCGTTGCGAATTGGGGTATAGATGATAGTGGCGAAATAGATACCGTGACAACAACTAGATGCATTTATGAAAAGATTTACAGTTTCAAAATCGTTGCATTGCAATAATTCAATGCAGCTAACTTCATTCAACCTTCCTAGTAGTCATTGTACCCCGTTTACCACATAAACATGATGCCTGTCCTGATGCCTGAAGCAAGTGTAGAAGTTAGGAAAAATATCATAAAATTGCATAATGAGGGTTGTTCTATGCATCAAATAGCTAAAACCCTTTACGAATGAGCTACTGGTATTGAGTACATAATTAAAGGGTTTACGGATAGAGGAAATATTGAAAATGTCCCATCTACAGATCCTTCAAATTGTGAACTATCCGCAAACTGTTGGGCAAATGGCCCTAAAATAGCAGCAAATCTTCAAAATCAAGATAACAATCCTATAAGTGCAGAAACTCTGAGAAGAGCTTTACGATATGTAAGTATAGGAAAAGAATCGATACATTGACAACATTAATAGAAAGAAATAAATTGCATTTGCAAAAATGCACACAGAAAAGAATATGGATGTTTGGAAATGATTAATTTATTAATTTATAGAGGAGGCAAAATATAACATTTGTGGATGTGACCAGTTAAACAATTTGCCATGGTTTTGAGATATATGACTAGTGAATACGAACCCCATAGAACTATGTGTGAGATTATTTATGTAATGATACCTATTTATGTAGTCTCAAATTTCGATATAGCATTATGATTTCGATGATCCAAAATCAATGTGAAAGATGAAATGGAGTCTTCCCCTTATAAGAGTATTCAACATTGGACACTCGGATAAGCAGCTGTCTTAAGTTTATTGAATTATGTTACAATTAGAGGATCGGTTAATTAAAACGAACAAACATTTATACATCATTCAATGTGATTCACAAAGTCATGTGCAGTTTGGAAAATATGAGCTCTTGAACTTGACAACTTTCTGCACTATTTGTAAGACTTCAAATAATAGCGTGTTATGATACCCGGTGAATTGTATACCCAGAGTAGTTAATCATGAACAGATACAGTACTGGTCTGATGATCCTAAGCAAAACAACCTAGTTATTGTTGTTATTTTACCGCGTGATATTTCTCCTAACTTCAACAATTTTTGCTTCATTAGAGTTATGAAGTCTAACATTCACAATGAACAAACAGTTTTCCTTAAGAGCACTACATTGTTGAAACTCATAATTTGATTATTGAAGTATTTGTTGGTCACTTCAATATCAATGGTCTGGTTTGAGATTGAGATTCATAAAATTATCTCAAAATTTAATTCCAAACGATTTATGTAGTAAATAAATAGTCCACAATAAAATTGTTATTAATTCTTCTAGTTGTCTGGATATTTCTATAAAAACAAATACTAATATTTTAGTTTAATCTATCGTATTGTTGTATAAAATAACTGACTACCACGACCAGAAGTGATCTGTAGACGTTAATAGCTATAGAGTTGCACTCTTATTACAAAAAGCATTCTGATAACAAAACCTAATAGACTTAAAATTAGTGTCCACTTCATTATTACTGCTTTCAGACTATAGAAGCAATTAAAAATTAATTTGAAGTAAATTTTTGAACTTACCATTGATTACTAAATCTGCTGTTGCAGTAATTCTACCATGAATATTAGTGGCATCGCAACGATAAGTTCCAAAGTCATTTCTTTGAACTTGTTTTATAATTAAATTTCCGTTAGAATCGATGATGTAATGTTGTGAAGGAGCAATCGCGATTCCCGATTTTGACCATGATATAAAAGGTTGTGGGGAACCCCCTGCTTTGCAAGTAAATTTGATTTCTTTTTCACCTTCAGATGTTGTTACACTATTTGGTGTTTCAATAAAAACAGGTTTCTCAAAAGCATCTGAAACTAAAAAAAAAATAATAAATAAAATAAAATCAAAAAATATTTAAAAATATACCTGTATTTTGAGCTTCAAAATTTTTAATATTTTCAGGTTTAAAAACAACCATCCTCGCCGATCTTGACCTAATAAATCCTTGAGGATTTTTTGCTACACACTCATAAAATCCATTATCATCATCTTTAGAATCCCTAATCATTAAACTCCCGTCTCCCAGTATTTTATGACGTTCGTCATGCATGTCAAGTTCTAACTCGTTATGCGTCCATGTAACCGATGGTGATGGATCACCTTCAACGTGACATTTAAAAATTGCGGTTCCGCCTATTTTTATTTCTAAATCTTGAGGTTCTTCCATAATTTCAGGAGACTCTATAAAAATCAGTAATGAATCCGAAATTATTGCGTTATAAACGAAGACTTTCACTTACTGCAATGAAAATCCTTCATTTCCATCGTCTTCAAGGCTTTACCACTCATCTCCGTTGGAGTTCTGCAATTCGCGGTAACTTGCAACGGAGCATCTTTTAACATCCTTGCGAGCCATGCCAATTTGCAATCGCATATTAGTGAGTTTGCGTCGAGACGGAGTCTTTGAAGTCGTGGAAGATTTGAAAACGCACCCGCTGAAACTCGCGATATTTTATTTTTATATAAGAATCTGCAATAAAAAAAGAAAAAGATGATTTAGTTTGATTGAGAATCGTTATCGTAAATTTATGGAAGCTAAATAAAGTTTGCAACATAAATTGGTGCCAGTTGGGAAATTGGGAAAGCACGTTTTAATCAATTCCTACCATTTTCATATCGAACTCGATTATAGTTAGCTTCAGTTTGCAATGTGTGTTTGACCATCACATTCTATGACAATGTGTGTATTATTGTTACAATCTAGCGTTTATAGTTTGGGAAATAGGAATGCATTTTGAGTTTGTAGACCGTTTCCACAAGCGTATACCATTACACAAAGGTGGAAGCAAACAAACCCAAAGTGATTTAAGTAAATATTTCATTAAACGTACAGAGTTTGTGTTGAGTTGGTTCATTATTTTGCAACTGTGTAGTAAGCAAATATATGTATTTAAATGTATGTTATCATATCAAGTTCAAAGATTTATGTCAATTTTATTTAAATTTTAGTTACGAGTATTGTTGAGAACATAAAAAATCTCGTATTGCTCTTTTATGCATATGTGAAAACACAAAAGAGAGATTAAATTATGTAATTTCTATGATTTTTAATCCTAAATTCAATTTTATTACAATAGAATAAGCATTGATTTCAAAAAATATAATTATAGAGTTTATTATGGTTGTTGCACAATAAAAATTAAGGATTTAAAATCTTCGTTTGTTTCTTCATTTATTTTTACTATATCCAGTAAAAATTTGATGTGAAAATTTAACATGGACCACTCCTTGTTATTAATTTAGAAACGCTTGTATTTCGTAATTACTCCTTTACCGATGTGAAATGTTTAAATCTTGTTGACATGCGAAATGTAGGTAAAGATCAAAGCTTTCGGGGTTACACAAAGTTATATTCATGAAAGATTCAATTTGTAGAATTTGAAATCATCAGTGCAATTATTGTAACTTAGGTTTAATTTTAATTAGTTTTAAGTGAAATCTAAAAGTAATAAAATAATATAGAGACCTACTTAATAAGCAAGTTCAATTCAGATAATTACACCTTATTTACTGATACTTTACTTATTTAGTTCCTTATTTTTAATAATTTCCAGGAGATGACTGCGTTTAGGTTGGTGATTATGTTTGGAGTTAGATTATAGCCTGACGTTTTCTTGATTGGTAGTCCTGAGGTAGATCTTGTTTTTATCATAGATGATGAGATTATCATAGATTCTGTATTATTTTCGGGAATGTAGAAGTTATAGAGTTTTGTAATTGTTGTGCCTACTTCTTTTATTTCTTTCTTGAGTAAACGGAATGATGTGTCAATATTATTTACAAGTACCAATAGATTGTATATGGTTTGTCATGTTCATTTTAGTTGTATCTGTATAGGACTTGCTTGTTGCCTTAAATTGGTTTATAAGTAGACAAGATTTATTTCTTTGCGATAGGTTGGAATAGTTTAATTAACGTGGGATTTTAGTGTTGTTTAGTGTGTTTCACGCATTAGTGACCAACAGTATTTTTATGACTCCTAATATGCTCAAGATAAATCCCGTTGAACTTATTTATAGCTGTACACATAGAGAGATCATAATAATTGTTTTTAAACAATAACCGGCATGTATATGTCAGGTCAGGTATTTTTTGGAAATACCCTCTAATGAATAAGGACTCTTGCTAGGTGATCTATTGAGGAAGTTTGCGATTGAAATTCCGACAATATAAATGCTTACTTATAAGAGCTGCTTTGTAAGATTAATAATCACTGTTGATTTGCCAAATTTTCTAAGTCAATGCTTTGTAGAACGCATATTGGCCTACTTCCCTAACTTTACAACAGCTTTGTTGTAGTAGACACTTGATAAAGTAGAAACTCCGATAGTGTGGTGCCTTGATTTTTATGGTGATCACAAGGTAAGTTTAAAGACTTTAAAATAATTATTCTTATTTTGCTATTTATATAGGACGAGTTGCTTAAGCATGACGAAATATACTGCTTTTATGTACAGATGTTCATTTTATAAATATTTTTGTTATAATCTAATGGGTGTACCGATTAATCAATCAATTTCTAAATATACCTCAACATTTTTCGTGCTAAATTCAATATTTGTTACCAGTAATCGTTAAAATAAAAAATGTATTGTTTAGTAAGCTAAATACAGATATCTATAAATATTTGCGTCTATAACAGAAGAAAATAAATCGAATATCTTTCTGCTAATCTATCATCGTTGTGGAAATATTGCAAAACTTGCAATTTCTTTTATAAAATTTGGACGAGATATTGTTTAAGTATTCCAGTTATTTAAACTTTCTTGAATTTTAAAACATATTATTTTTTTTCATTTCCTAAATATCACTTAAAAGTAATTAAATTACAATGTAGTTTCCAGTTTCTAGAAGCTAAGCCTTTCATGAACATATCTCTGTGTAACGCCTGACAGCTTTGATCTTTACCTACATTTCGCATGTCAACAAGTTCTGGACATTTCCCATCAGTAAAGGAGTAATTATGAAATACAAGCGTTTCTAAATTTATAACAAGGACTAATCCACGTTAAATTTACATAACAATATGTCCAGAATTAATTGATGAGAACAGCCATGAACAGCCATTTATAAATTCTAAATAAATAAATTTTTGCAAATCAATTCCCATTAAAAGCTTTAAACTCCATAAATATAGTTCAATCAAAGTTATTATAAAATGCTTTTTGTTGTTACACGTTTCGACTCTGAACACGAAAAAATGCTTCGAAAGTCACAACTTTACATAAAACTATAAAATTAAAAGTAAATGTCTTAGAAAAAATATCGACGAAGACGACGTTAGATCAAAAAGAAGAAGAGAAAGGAAGTTGGAAGATAATATATTCCTGGTAGTGCTTCATATAATAGCAGTGAAGATTCAGAAAATGATTTTTTCATGATGGAAAATATAACAAAAAAATTTATTTTGGTGCCAATGTTGCTAAAACTATAGGTGAAGCTGTTTATTAATGAATTTCTTTAGATTACGATGTTTACTGTTTTATATAAAAAAATTGCAGTGAAATTTTACAACGATTTTCTTTGATCAATAATATATTGGAGTTCAAATTTTCTATATCCATAAATGGTAAAAAAGGGTTTCTCACTCTCACTTCATACTGACTGATTTATAACATGTCGATACCGAATAGCCATACGGTAGAATGAATAGTACTCCATACGGAGAACTATGAAATAGTGATAATATGGAAACGTTTCTAGACGAAATTCAAACATTTCGGCAACAAGTCAATGAAAAAAAGTATGGTAATGGTATGTCAATAACAGTTCACTCTCAGGTTTTGTTTTTATTGCGATCTGTTTGCCTATGTCAATCAAGAAAAGATTTTTTCAACGATAAATTTAATGAAAACGAACCAGAGAAATAAACTATTGACTGCAACTATCTTTAGATACACTAAATAAAGACTTTAGAATTAATAAAAAACTGATTGATAATATGAACAAAGCCAATTTATATGAACCCAAAGAGAATGATTTATTTGCGTTTAAATACAATATTCTACAATACACATTCTATTTAAACATTTTCTAGGAGTATCTTTTAAGTGATTATTTTGAGTTTGTATTACTAAAATAATGTTTGTGTAATTTTTACAATTTAAATTTTACGCCAAATAAATATGTATGTCAGAAAAGTTTATTTAAGCAGATTTAAGTTTCCTCCTCTAAATTTCAATACGTTAGTTTGAATTTAATTATAGCTTAACATAGTTAAAGTAAATTGAGAATGAAACCAAAATAGATGTTATTAACAAATTTGCATTTATGGTAATTAAATTTGATCAAAAACTCTATAGTCATTATACGTAGAAGCTCCTGTGGGTAATAGGGTCCCTTTTCATTAGCCATAAAGTGAGCTGAGTTGGCAGTAAAACAGTTTTGGAATTGTACGAGGCACCATTAGATATGGAATGGAAGCGGCAAACGCACGAGAGCAAATATTAATTTCGCACACCAAAAGATTCCTCTGGTTGCCTTTTGCATTTTTATTTATTCTTCTCTCCTATTGGTTCGGTAGCCGTTCAATCCTATACATAAAAGCCGGCGGCAGAATTGAATATATTGGGAGTAAAATATAAATCGGAAGAGCGGTTTTCTAGGTAAATTGGCTTCGATCCGTTCCCTTCTCCTTTATGATTTTGCATCTATCGTCGAGAGCTTCAAAGGCTTTCAGTACATCGATGGTATATTCAATTTATGTCGAGTGTGTATTCTATGTAGTACAATATTATTTTAAGCAGATGCTTTGCTGGAAAATTTAAGTCGCTTCTTTTAAAAAGAGATTTAAAAAAATAATAATAAAGCTGGTGTTCAAAACATTTCCGGCTTTTTCTCTTTTATAACAGACCAACAACAGCTGTCGCTTAAAATGAAAATTCTTGAAAAAATCCATGTCCATGGCAGCTCGCTTTAGCTTATCTTTACTCATTTACATAAAAAATCGTATCCGCTTTTACAACATGCGGAATAATGAAATAATTTTGATTTAAAGCTTCATTTAAAGTTCTTTTTTTGTTTAAACCAACATAAAGTAATACTCAAATTTACTTTATTATTCCAGCTTACCATTATCAGCTTACAATTTTATAATTTATGGTTGAATTGTGTGTTAAATGAAGTGTGGGATTTCGACAAGCCGCACGAAATTAAAAAATCGTGTTCGCATGAAGTGAATTCAGAGTGGTGCGGATGTTTGCGTTGAAAAGCTTTCTATGGGATCATTTTTCAAAAATAAATTCTAATTTGATAAACAAATACTAGATTTATTTGAAAAATGCATTCTTCTTAAAACAAAAAAAAATAATACTTACAGTCGTTCTAAGTTGGGTATATTTGAAAACGTTCCTGTTTTAATTTCCCGAAGGTCGTTATAATGTAAATATCTGAAAATAAAAAAGATGTTAACGGCGCAACGTTATTAGTGCTTTTAACTTTTATGTAGACGTAACAAAAATAAATTTTCTCGCTAATGTAGCAATTACATTATGACCATCAGTCGTTCAATGGGAGTAATAACTACGCTATAACGTAACTAAATTGGCAATTAGGACAGCGGTATTATTTCACTTCGACTTAATTAGGCACGCATTAGCGGTACAAGCTATTCTGATACTAAAATTGTTCGTCAGCAACGTAATATTACCCTTTAAGTACGGTGCAATGAAGCGTATTGAAACTGGATGCTTTTATTATATGACGGCAAAAGATGTAGCAACTATGTTATACTTTGTTGAATTTAAGAACTTTGAGGAACTTTAGAAGTAAATTGAATGAATTATAAATTTCAGAATTAATTTTAGTTACAAAAAATGTTAAATTATCGATTTCTAATTTAGAATATGGGTTTAAAGAATATTTCGTTGAAAATATCGACGCAAACAAAAACCATTTTTTAAAAACATGTTATAAAGAAATGATTATTAAATCTAGTCATTCAAAAAATATGATTCATTAAAAAACGTAAATAAAATACAGTAATAAAATGCACCAATACAAATATGAAACTTATTTGTTCATTGTGGTTGATAACGTCAAAGATATCATACCCAATATCAGTAGCTTTTCCTGCTTAATATGTTGTATATATTTTGTGTGATCATTTACAAAGCAATCGCTATGGAAATTTCTAAACATTCAACGCTGATATAATATTCTGACATCAATTGCACCAAATAAATCCTTCACATATGAATTCCTCATCATATATAACTGTGGAGTTACAATTTCTTTTGATGTCCTTTCCCGATAAATTTGCGATATAGATTACATAGATATCAGAATTCTTTCTAGAATATCCCCATTTCGGCATAAAAATATTTGTTTAGAGAATTAGGACTGATATCCTTTTGATACCGTATTATTGATGATGGAGTTATCATTAGTATAAAGTTATTACAAATTTCTACGACGAATATAATCATCTGGCGACAGATCCAGTAGTTTTAGTCTTTGCATCGAGTTGTGCAAAACTTTGACTTCGGAAACACACTTTAAACGTATTTCCAGTTACTCCTAGCACATTCATTATTCATTATTAAGAAGTTCTACACTAAGCAGATTTCTAATTTTTCTCAATATTACCTTCATTTTATTATATCTTATGACCATGTCGTATGGAACGCCAAAAAATTCAGTTACAATTATACTAACAATCAATAAATTGTAGACAATTATAATACTTTCTTGAGCTAAAAATCTGGTGTACATAACTATTTTGCTAATTATCCCAAAATACCTGAATTTAGGGATTCGTCATAAATTTGTTCCTGAGTAAACAGTTTTTGAATTTATACATTTTTATAAATTCCTTTCTTTTTAATCTCTATTTGTAACGAGTAACAGCCTCTCGACTATGACGTTGGTTCGAGATACATAGTACACTGTGGTGGATACACTGAGCTAGCTAGTGGGGATTCATAGTATGTAACCAGATTCTCTATCGTGGAATGACTAGTTTTTAGGTAGTGGCTAGAATCACACTACCTGGCCTCTATGAAAGACTACTTTTTCCATTTCTATACCATGTTTGTCATGTACGATCACCATTCCGTTTGAAGCTTAATTGAACTTTATTTCATCCAACATTTCACACAGATTTTCTACTCCACATGTTAATTCTGACGTTATTATGAATTTTGTTATGCTTATCTTTGTTATTATTGGAAGCGGCGGCTATCCCTTCATGATAAAATATAGCTTATTTTGACAATATTTAGCTTCTTCGTGACTGGTTTATCGGCGTTAAACTTTCCATAACATATCAGTACTTTGTAGTGTTATTTGAGTACTAGGTGTGTAATTTCCTTCTTTGCTTCTAGCTGTTTTGGCATATTCACGGAGATATTCTTCACCCTTTCTGTGTCAAACTTTAGTACTTTTATATTTTGGGCATTCAATCTTATTTTAGAACGCATGCAGTATCAAGCTCCCTTTCTGTTCTATCAAGTATTGGTGCTAAGTTACCACATCTTGGCCATTGTTTCTGAATCATCTGGAAGTTGGAATACTTTTGCATTGGATTTCACAACCATTACTGGAAGATCATGTACGAATCATACATTATATAGAAGAGGAATTTTTCTCATCTTTACCTGCAAGTACTTATTCTTGTTGTTATCAGGTTTCCATCTAAGTTGGCGTCGATTATCTTTGCTAGTAGGCCAGCTTCTTCGACATCTAATAATAAAGTAACAGTTGTCTTTTCGTTTAGGTATGTTTCAACCTGCAAATAAGAATTGCAGCCTGGTGCATTGTACTTGCGAACCAGGTTCGGGATAACTTTTATTAAGTGTATCTTATCTGGCTACAAGTAGTGAGACGCTCGAAAATAATACTAACACAATGATAGCTTTTAAGAAAGTAAACAAAAAATCCAATTTTCAACAAAAACATTAGAGCTCAAATTCTTAGTCTTAAGCTGTTCATAACAATTCATTTTCATTTAGCTCTTCGCAGAGTTCTTTTATTTAAACCATACCCTCATGTTTACTGCTTCTTTACCAAACATACAACCCTTCTGCTTAAGCTATTATTTCCTGAGGTCACTATCTGAACTCTATATTTATGAAACCTAGGACTCCAGCCTCTTATTATTCATTCTCTCATATTTTGGTATTAGTGACCTCAGCAATCCTTCGACCTAGGCTCATTTTCTTTGTCAATCTACCAACATATTATTGCTAACTTCAATTTGGTAAGTATTTGTATTTGAGTGCACTTTTTCTCTTTTTTCTATCTACCACTGCTTCACTAGTTGTAGAAAGTGTTCCATAAGCAAAGCTCTTCAATTCTTGCGATCGGATTGTCCATGGCATTATTTTCATTAGAATGTTGGAAAATTTGTCATGACTATATCTTTGTCTATGTACAAACCCAGATGCTTACGTTTATGCGCACTATGAATTTGCCGTCGTTGTCCTCTATGGACTTACTTTTCAGCTGTTTTCTTCAACCATTTTATGTGGACTGTTAATATCAATCACATTTCCTCCGATTTTATTATTGCTCTTCCCTTAGACTTCCATTATTTGTTTTCATTTAGAAATGGACTCTTTCATGTTGACTTCTGTTTCTTGTGGTAGCTGTATAGTTCCTGGCTATATCTTGTCCTTCCTACATAATTCTCATATATGGGGCCTACAATACTTCTTAGGTTATTCTTCTCGAAGATATTTATGCTGTTCACTAGATTTTGAGTCAGCTTTAACGTCTCACAGCCATACATATGTAATTACAGGCCTTAAAATTGTTTTTTAGATCCCGAACTTTATGTTCTTATGTATATTCTTAGATATGATTCTTCTTTATATTTTCCCAGCCTGGCTGCCATCCCTCGCCTGGTCCATTCGAAGATATAACCACCGTGATATTATCCTCCATGTCATCACCTACAACTCTGCTCGACCTAGTCTGTATCAGTGTTTTCTATAGATTTGTTCTTAGCCTCACTGGCTTCACCATGTCCTTCATTTGTTTGTAGGTTTCTTGTGCGGCTTGAGATGTTAATGTCGTCCGCATAGCCCACTAGCTGTACTGATTTATTTATCAGTAGATTCGATCTTCTAATTTTCATTCTTCGTACGGCATGTTTCAGTGTAAAATTAAACAATGTTTGTGCCAGCCCAACTGGTATAGCTGATATAGCTCATTTCCTATTTTACGCATTTTCTAATAGATTTGCGGTTGATAACTTCTATTTTGAACTTAAAAAAAATGAGAACTTCATATTCTTCTTGGTTTATTGATTAGTGTTTTTTCTTCGGACATCATACAACTTGTTCATAAAATTTAGTGCTTAGTTATGTATGGTTATTGATGTTCTATTGGCGTATCCATGACATTCCTTTTTATGTACAAAGCTTTTAAAACCTAACATTATCTATGTATAGTAGCTACGAACCTGAATATTGGTTTTTTATTATATCTCTACTCTTTTTGCTTTTTACTTTTGACATCCTACTATTACAAGTAACCACCGGAGTTAGTAAATAAATGAAAGTGTTACTGGTATTGGTCCTTGTGATATTTTTATTATTCAAGCTACTCATTTTTATTTTTTTCTGCTGTAATGACGATAAATAATCCTTAAATACAAATTCCATGGTTTCGGTTGATAAACTGCAATGCTGCAGATGAATAAACTTAGTGATACGTATTTCTTGTACGTTTATAAAGTTGTAATTGGAAGTTGCTAATAACATGCGAACAATCATTCGGCATTTACTTCGGCTTCAACTGAGTAATTTAACGGAAGCCATACAAAGTATCGTTTCCATAGTTTTCCTTCTTTTAATACACGCACAAAACAGTTCAAAGAGAGCTGACGTCGTAGAAGGTTGTTTGTAAATGTAAATTCAATATTAATTACACGAGAACAGTGAAAACCTCAAAAAGAATCAGTTTCAGTTATACAAATATTTACAGCAATTAACCAATATTCAGTAAAAAATGAATTAAAATATTTAGAATAGGTGAAATTATTACCAAATATAATTTAATGGAGATAAAATACTCGCGATTATACATTGTTATATTCGATGGAACAAATTTCAATTCAAACAATGAAACACGCAGTAGTTGCAAATGACAAACAGTCTAAATTTGATATGGGTTGAAATTTCCCGTAATTAAAATAGTTTAAAAAGTTATAATTCGATTTTATTTTTATAATTGATGTATTATTTTACTTACAAAAATTCCAATTTGGGCATATTCTGAAAAACATCACCATCGATTTCTTGTATTCGATTCTTGTACAAATACAAATGTGTGACTTGATTCAATCCAGAAAATGCTCCACTTTTAAGATGAGTAAGCAAGTTGTTGTTCAATAGTAGAGAACGAACATTCTTCAAGCCCTTAAAAGTTCCCGGTTTGATGTCACGGATCTTGTTAAATCTCAAATCCCTGCAAAGAGAAAAAAAACGTAAGTCAGAATACTTTGGTTTCAGATGAAAGATATCTTGAAAGCTATCTGTTCGAAGACGTTTCTGCGGCACCTTTCTCGTATCCTTTCCCTAAAGGAAAATAAAACACCCGCAAGTTATTGTAAAGCGAACTTTAAAGGTTGTTACCGAGATTTATACCGGATGGGGATATTTTCCGCGGTACCCGATTTATCGTCACCCGTACGGACGCCGACAAATTTATTACTGTTTATTGGGATTTATTACGCGAGTTTGAAAGTAGATTTCTTGCTGGAGTTCGCGGCAACTTCCGACGAAGGCGAAAGGCTCATTGGAAAATTAGAGAAAAATGACCATTTTGCGTTGAGATTTACTGTGATCGCTTTATCGCTTCGCCAAAACTATGATTTGTGGATACCCTGGAAAAGTTTGCGCGCACTTCACCAACGATAATGCTAATAGTGTTTTATATCTTCATGATAAATTATTACTTCATGATTAAATTATAACTACTTTTATAGTTTTTATGATCAAACTTTACTTTAAATGTACATAAAGTTCTATATCAACAATTTTCAACGAAAATTATTTTGAAATATCTCAACACTATTTTGATAACGCTTACAAAAAAAAATTATTTGAATTAAAAGTAAAATCTGTTCGTTACTATTTATTTTTAATAATACAGTTCAAACACGTTTATATAGCAATGTATTCTTTATATCCGGGTGGATTTGAAATAATTTTAAATACAAAATAAATTAAAATTATTAAATACGTTTAAATCGATTTGTAAAACAATGGGATCTGGATTGTTTATGACATGTTCATTTATTTTTTTAATATAATAAATTGATAAAAATAACTAAAATAAAAACCTCCATTCCAAGCCAAAAAAAACTGGAAATCGATTCGAAAGTAAAGCCGAAAAGTTTTTGTTTTAATAACAAAAGTTTTGATGCACTTCTAGCCGTGTAAATTGCACAGTGCTTTGTCTCTCGTTGCAAGAACAGGAGGATAACGGAAAAGCTGCGAGGCGTCCGTAATTGGACGGACAATATTTCACCGTCGGTGGGGCTCTGCTCGGCTTAACTCTTTTAGTCTTCGCGGGACCATAATTTAAGCAAACTTAAAAGGAGCCCAGCATTATATTCGGGAGTAACTGGAAACCTTATGGAAGACAAATTGGCCTGTAAAATTTATGTAAGGACGACGAACAAAACGTTCGCGACGGTTTAACTCCAGCATTTTCAACGAAAAATTATTGTTAAAAAATTTTAAATGTGAATCTTTTAAATACCGATTATGAATTCAGCGATAAACATGAATGGATGTAAACTACATTATGTTGGGTTACTGCCAACTAGTTGCATTACGGTATGTTATGACTCCCAACAATTTTAAAGTTATTTACTTCCAAATATAATCTTAAACCGGTTGAAATTTATTACGACAAGAATAAGGTTTAAAGGATAATTTCTACATATTTCAGATTATATAATAATATTAAATCTTTTAAAGAATAAAATATTCTTTAAATTAACTAAATAAGATTTTTTTTTATTTACAGGTTTTAAAGGGTGTTTTAAGGAAAAAATCCGTCGAGTTTCAATTCATTTTAAAGTTTTCATTAAGTTACAGAATTATTCAACATAAGTAACCTTTTTTTTTTAATTTAACACCAATGTACAGTGAAGAAAACATTAAAAGAATAATGTTGTAAGGAGTTGATAAAAAACAATGACACAAGAGAGAAAAAAAAGAGGCAAAAATAAAGGCAAAAGTGCCATAGATTTCACTTGCGTCCTATAAGGTCAACAAACATGGAAAGATCGTAAAACTGTTATAACAAAAAAAAATCTCACAGATCCGGGAATGAAATCTAACAACGAGCAACCTGGTAAGAAAATGAACACAGAATGTTGAGGACATCATAAAACGAAGACACACAAGAGAACCATAAAAGAGTCGTTTCAGACCATGCGATAAAAACATCTTATTGCATTAGAGATTTCTTTAGAAACCATAAATACCAAAACCAAACTGATCATCAATGATAAGACCCAAACTATAGTTAATATTAACTGTACTCCAAGCATCCTAATATTAATATCTTTATTAATAAGAAAACTACTCTTTTTAGTAAATAAAATACATTGCGTTTTGTGAGGGTTGATCACAAGAATATGTCTTTTAATCTCCACACATAAGTGACTTAAATCCTTTCTTATTGTATTACAAGTTTTCGATCGCTTAGATCTTGAGAATAAATTGCTGGTATATATTGTAAATATGATAGAACCAAAGATCTTCACCAAAGATCAATGCAGAACACCAGCAATCAATTTAGTAGATTCAGAATACAATGATATTACAGCATCAAGGTTATCTATTTCAAGTTATTACCATTTAAGTTAAGATTATAGCATAGATATAATCATGGCATAGCTATACTGACTCCTGAAACCAGGTTGTTTGTCAGATAGTATAAGTATCCCAAAAGGATCTTAATTGCTCCGCTATAAACTTCTGTAATACTTTAGGCGAATCTTGTAGGATGGTAGTAGGTTAAATATAATTAAATTTTCACCCAACTGACGCAATGGTTTGTAATGTGGACTACCAACTTAAAATTATTTTCCTACTTTGGCAGCCACAGAAATATTAAACCACTATTGTTGTATTGTACGTTAGTGCATTGTAAATCACTAATCGCGGCAATTATTACATGCGCAAACTTATTTATCCGGTGAGTTTAATGTTATATGTTCATATTTCGTATATGTCTCTGCAAATTGAGCACACATTTATCAAAATATATCTTTTATTTGTGTTTTGTATATTTTTGTGCATGCTTTGACGACATATCTTATGATTTGAACCTAAATATGACCTTTTAAAATCGTTTACTTAAAGAATCGAAAAAAACTGTACAAACTTTACTCCAGTTAAGCAGAATTTTATATCAAATACCTGTAATACCTACAGTAAGAGTTAATTGGTTTAGTTTCAGGAACAGGAATTACCAGACCACATTTCCATACCTTAGGGTAAATCGACATTCTCAAACAAAAGTTTAAAATATTCAAAACATTCAAAATAAAATAATATAAGAATCTCACATTCTTATTCTTGTTGTTAAGTATCACAAGTACGTATTTACCATATACTAAGAAAAGCAACATTTTAGTTTAAATATGATTTTTTGAAAAAATATTTTCAAATCCAGAAAGTTTCTGAAAAACTAATAACTTCAAGTTCGTATTTTATTTTATTTGGAAAATGAATAAATGTAGAAAAATAAAAAAGAGGGTAGCATATAGGCTGATAAAAGAATAGAATAAAAGTTCATAAGTTGAATAGATGTATAAATTTCTTTATTAAATCAGTGCACTTTAAGACAAAGACTAAACATATAGGTATCCCTTTCCATCCACTACTTGAGCAAAAACTAAAAAGAAACCTACTAAAATTTAACATTACTACAGCTTTCTCCTCTGGTTTTAAGATTAGTAAACTGCTTATGAATAACAAACAAAAACCTAAACATGAAGAACTCAACTATATATCAAATCAACTGTTCAGACTGCCCAAAAATATACATAGGGCAAACCGGTAGGAACATCTTAACCCGTTTCAAAGTACACTCCTCTAAAGAAAACTCAGCTGTCTTTAAACATAAAAAAGAAACGTCACATAACATTCCTGCAGAAAACATAAAACTGCTGAAGATCCTTAAAAAATCGAGAGAGATGGACCTTTACGAAGAGTTACACATTAACATTAATAACAAAAAGAACATACTAATGAACGATTTCGTTGATACCAATAACAATAGACATTTTTTGAATTTCCTGTAAAAATAAAAATAACTGCCTTTTCACACATTTTCTCGATGAATAATATCAATTTAAAAACCTGTAACCCCCGCACATGCTCAATTGCACTCCACTTTTCTTATTCTATCGTGTTTTAATCTTCGATGTGATACCTGTTTTCTTCGTAAGATTGTCACGTTGTGATTTTATTAAGAATTAAATGTTTTACAAACGGTTTTGAATGTTCAATTCCATCAGACAACCTAATTTTTGACGGTAAATTACCTTTATTATATATTTTATAATTTTAACTCCAATTCTTTATGTAATACTTATATGTCATTTCCTGTTGTTTTTTCTTAAATTTTAGTCGTGCCAAAGAAGAAGAATCATTAGATTCGGAAAAAAAGCACTGATTTAATAAAGAAATTTATACATCGATTCAATTTATGAACTTTTATTCTATGATTTATACGATGTACCTGGAATCCACTATATATAAACTGATAAAAGAATCTCGACCACCTATCAGAAAAAAGGTTATCTGTTCTACTTGTAATGGTTAATACAGAGTGTCTCAAAAGAAACTTTATATCTTATTAGCTTACAGCGCCAACGCAACAAATTTGAAGGGTATGTCCAACGATCTGGCAACGTCGCTCGCTTCACTTCTCTCTGGATAGACCATGATTAAAAGCTGTCCTATTGATATACACCGATGTTTGTAAACAGTTTCGGCATTTTGATTTGCTTTTGTTTATAATATTTTTAATTAAAACTGGATTAGAAAGGGTTAAATTTTGCTAAAACTAATTGATAAATAGTTTTACTGATTGTAAATGTACGCACGTAAATATACACATGCCAGAATTTACAAATATTGGGTAAACGGGATAGGAGAGGGTCGACGATTACTATATATGTCTGAGACAAACAAACCTGTATAAAAGCATAGCGATGGTCCATCCAGAGAGAAGCGAAGAGAGCGACGTTGCCAGATCGTTGCGTATGTCAATCGACAGCTTAGCTGTAGGGAATACAGTCAGTATGGAGCGTTTCTTTCGTCACATATATGATACGCTAAACGTTCCTTTCATTCGAAGGTGAAGAATTTCGTTACTTCGAATTTTGCACAAAAACATAAAACTGCTCGCCTATAAAATCCAATTGGTGTAAGAATTAA